CAAAGTGCTGGGATTACAGGCGTGAGCCACAGTGCCCGGCCCTATGTTTGCCTTTCGATGCCAGCTTTAGAACCAGCTGAGTATGCATTAGTTTTGTGTGTAGGCAGTGGTAGAGGTCAGGACAGGAAGAGCCTACCTTTTGTTTATTGTCTGAATTATTTTGCTCTCAGGAACTGGAGACTAGAATTTGAACAGTTCCACTGGAACTATTTCCTGAGACTAATGTATGTGTTTGACCCATGGGAGTGTCTGTCTCCCCAGCCAAGTCATCTGAAAAATTTTTACCCCTCATCTGTCCAGGAGGAGGAAGTGAACAAATAAGACTTGATATTACACTTTTGGAAAAGCAGAGTTGAAGGAATTGACAAAATAAGTGTCCACTTTATTTTATAGGTGTATTTTTACCATGGTCACTATCTCCCAAAGACGTCTGCGGGAGTCCATTACCACTAGCTTGGGAGAGTCCATTGCCACTAGCTTTAATTTTCTTTTAAAAGAACCTTCCTAGTATATCCTTACCACTATTCCCAGGAAAGATTTTATGTTACCTTTCTCAGTCTCAGAATCAGTTTTGTCTGTTTTTTTTCCCTGGAGTCTCGCTCTGGCACTCAGCCTGCAGTGTCATTCCTTCCACTTTGATAGTTTAAAGGAAGCGGTTTTTCTTCTATCTCACCATGGAGTGATGGATTCTTACTTTATTCAGTAGATTATAATCCTATTATTTATTTTGTTGCTAAATTTTGTTGTCAAATTTGGCCAGTGGGACCTCCCCTTCCAGCCAACTCTTGTGCTCTTTTAACATGTCCCCATCATTCTTTCAATACATCCTTTCAGGGCACAGTAAGATGTTGTCGGTTTGTTTTCTAATTTCACTGCCATGGCCTTAACAGGTGCCCGCCACCACACTTGGCAAATTTTGTATTTTTAGTAGAGACAGGGTTTTGCCATGTCGACCAGGCTGGTCTTGAACTCCTGACCTCAAGTCATTCACCCACCTTGGCCTCCCAAAGTGCTGGGATTACAGGCAGGAGCCACCATGGCCGGCCGGTTTTGTTTGTTTCTTTAACTCCCTTATAGTAGACCTTTCCCATTATAGATGAGTTACAAGCACAAAAACAAAACCCTGGATCCTTCTCTCCACAGTGAATCGGTTCTACTTTTATTTCCTTAGTAAGCTTTCTTCCCTCCTGGCTTTGACAAAACTATTCCTAAATTGGTCAAACTTGTTTTCATTTTTATTTTTTCAGACAGGGTCTCACTTTGTTGCCCAGGCTACAGTGCTGTGGCTGTTCACAGGTGCAATCATAGTTCATTGCAGCCTTTAACTCCTGGGCTCAGAGCGTCTTCTGCCTGAGCCTCCTGAATAGCTGGCACTATAAGCATGCGCCACCACACCCAGCTTTATTTTTATTTTTTAGAAGACAGTATGTTTAAAAAGGACATTAGAACAATTATTTACATAATTTTGGAATATGTAATACATTTCATTGTTCAAACCCTGAAAGGTATAAAAAGTGATGCAGTCAGCCTGGGCAACATGGTGAAACCCTGCCTTTACAAAACAAAATTTAAGAATTATCCAAGTATGGTGGCATGCACCCGTGGTCCCAGCTACTCGAGACTTGAGTCCAGGATGTAGAGGCTGCAGGGAGCCATTAACATGCCACTTCAGTGTGAGAGGCTCCAAAAAAAAAGAGGAAGTACAGAGTGTTGTTTACTTCTGACCTGCAGCTGGCATATACAGAGATAACCTTTGCAGATGTTTGTTTACAGTTTACAGTATACTCTTATGTCTAAAAAAACAGGTGTGTTTACCCCATTTGTAAATTTAAAAAATGGCCACATTGGCCGGGCGTGGTAGCTCACGCCTGTAATCCAAGCACTTTGGAGGCCAAGGCGGGCGGATCACCTGAGGTCGGGAGTTCAAGACCAGCCTGACCAATGTGGTGAAACCCAGTCTTTAAAAAAAAAAAAAAAAAAAAATGGCCACATGATATGCAGTATTATGTACCTTCCTTTGTTCACCTGATGATATTCTTATATATCACAACATTAAAAGCTTTCTCTACCTTTTTATTTATTTATTTTTATTTTATTTATTTATTTTGAGATGGAGACTCACTCCGTCGCTGAGGCTGGAATGCAGTGGCACCATCTCAGCTCACTGTAACTTCTGCCTCCCAGGCTGAAGTGATTCTCCTGCCTCAGCCTCTTGAGTAGCTGGGATTACAGGCACCTGCCACCATTCCCAGCTAATTTTGGTATTTTCCATAGAGACGGGGTTTCATCATGCTGCCCAGGCTGGTATTGAACTCCTGACCTCATGATCCACCCAGCTTGGCCTCCCAAAGTACTGGGATTACAGACATGAGCAACTGTACCTGCTGGTCTGCCCTTTTATTTTTTGACAGCAGTAGTTTTTATTGTTTGGTTATACTGTAATTTATTTTATCAGTTTCATATAAATTTCCAATCCTTTACTGTTATCAGTAATCCTTTAGTGGGTATCCTACAGAAATATGCAGTTTTGTTTCATAATGCTCCTTTATAGCAAAAGAAAAATCTAAGCTCATTTTACATTGAGTTGTTGTGTCTCTTTGGTCTCCTTTAATCTGTAACGATTAGTGGATCTTTCTTTGTATTTCATGACACTGACTTATTTTGTACGAAGTCCCTCCAGTTGGGTTTGTCTGATGTTTCCTCATGACTCAATTAAGGCTGTGCAGTTTTGGCCAGAACATAGCAAAAGTGATTCTGTGTTGCACGTTATACCAGAGGGTGTGTAGTGTCAATTCGATCTATTACTGGGTGTGTTAAATTTATGCATTTGGTTAAGGTGGTGTCTGTCAGATTTCTCCACTGAAAGTTATTATCTTTCTCTTTGTAATTAACTTGTGCTGAGATAATTTGAGACATTGTAAATATTGTTATTCCTCCAAGTTGCCTACATTCTCATCTATGATGATCCTTGCCTGATTCTTTTCTGAATCTGATGGATGCCAAATGGAGATGTTTAATTCTGTCTTTCCTTCCACTCTGATAGTTTAAAGGAAGAGGTTTTTCTTCTGTCTCACCATGAAGTGATGGATTCTTACTTTATTCAGTAGGTTATAATCCTATTATTTATTTTGTTGCTAAATTTTGTTGCCAAATTTGGCCAGTGGGACCTCCCCTTCTAGCCAACTCTTGTGCTCTTTTAACATGTCCCCATCATTCTTTCAGTACATCCTTTCAGGGCACAGTAAGATGTTGTAGATTTGTTTTCTAATTTCACTGCCCTGGCTTTAAAATTAGCCATTTATTTCTCCAAGGAGCCCTGGGTTCTTTTAGTGGATAATATTTAGAAGTTCAGATCCGTGTTTCAGAATTATTAATCTGTCTCTGTGGAAAAGAAGCCTACTAATTAGAGTTGGGTATTTGTTCTTTTGTCTTTAGCCAGAGGGGTACTACTGAATGTGCTTGCAATGAATGAATGTTCAAGTTATTTGGTCGGACACCCACCCCGCCTTCCCTTCAGTCTGGATATTTTATTTAGTTGAAATATGTTTTCTCTGTATTGAATTTAGGGTTCCTGTCATCCTTGTTGATTTTGTTTTCTTTCTTTTTTCTGTTTTTTTTTTTTTGAGACAGAGTCTCCTTCTGTTGCTCAGGCCGTAGTGCAGTGGCACGATCTCGGCTCGCTGCAACTTCTGCCTCCAGGTTCAAGTGATTCTCTAGCCTCAGCCTCCAGTCTTCAGTCTGGCTGGAATTACAGACACGCACCTCCACACCTGGCTATTTTTTGTATTTCTAGTAGAGGCAAGGTTTCACCATGTTGTCGAGGCTGGTCTCAAACTCCTGACCTCAAGTGATCTACCTGCTTTGGCTTCCCAAAGTGCTGGGATTACAGGCATGAGCCACCACGTCCAGCCAGTTGATTTATTTTCATTTCTGTGTGTGTGTGCATGAAGTAGTGTGAGAAGCATTCACATGGTCCCAAATTGTACATTACACGAAAAGGTATGCTTTCTTGTTGTTTTTTTTTTTCCACAAGACAGAGTCGTGCTCTGTCACCCAGGATGTAGTTTAGTGTCTCAGTCTTGGCTCACTGCAACCTTCATGTCCCGACTTCAAGCGCTTCTCCTGCCTGAGCCTCCTGAGTAGCTGGGATTACAGGCCCACACTACCACGCCCGGCTTATTTTTGCATTTTTAGTAGAGATGTGGTTTCACCATGTTGGCCAGGCTGGTCTGGTCTCGAACTCCTGACCTCATGATCTTACTGCCTTGGCCTCCCAAAGTACTGGGATTACAGGCATGAGCCACTGCACCGGCCAAAACAGTGCATTTTATTTTAACCTTATTCCCACTCATGCTCTGTAGGTAACATTAGTTATCTGGTTTATCATTAGTCTCTGGTTTATTCTGTGTTTCTTTTTGTTCACAATGAGCAGGTATATGTGTATGTATATTTTCTTATATATTTCTTAGACATAAAAACAGTATACTGGAGATATTCCTTTGTACTTTTCTTTTTTCACTTAATAATGTGTCCTGGAAAGTACTCCACATCTGTATCTGTTCATAGAGACCTTTTTCATGCCGTGTGTGTGTATGTGTGTTTGTGTTTTATTGTTGCATAGCACTGTCATGTAAATGTACCATATCGTCTATGTTTGGGCACTTGGGTTGTTTCTGATATTTTGCAATTATCATACAGTGCTGTAATGAATAACTTTATGCATGAGATTTTGCATTGTCGGAGGTATATCTTATGGGTGAACCCTCAGGAATGAGATTGCTAGGTCTAAAGGTAGTTGTCTGTGTAGTTTTGTTAGAGATTGCATTTCTACCAGCAGTATATGCATGCTTGCTTCTCCATAGCCTCACAAACTGAGTGTCTTACACTTTCTCAGCTTTGCTAATTTATAGATGAGAAAGGGTATCTCATTGTAGTTTTAATTTGCTTATCTCTTATGAAACTATGGTCTTTTAAAAATTAAACATTTTTTTTTTCCTTAGACGAAACTGCAAAGGAAATCCAAATTGCTTGGTTGGTATTGGTGAGCATATTTGGTTAGGAGAAATAGATGAAAATAGTTTTCATAACATCGATGATCCCAACTGTGAGAGGAGAAAAAAGGTAAACCATCATTTTTAAAGCGATTGCTATATGCTATTCTTTTGTTTTTCTTTTTGCTTTTGTTTTGGGCCTGTGACCAGAAAACACTACTGATTTCAGGTAACCTGTGCAACTTTAAGATAAATGGTAGAACTTAAGACTCTAAGCCACTTGAATTAGAACACTTTTTAATGGTATGCTTTAAAACAGGCAGCTGCGTAATTCAGTAAGCCTTTTAATAATACTTTTAGTTTGAATGCTGATTCTATGTTTGCTTTAACATTGCATATTTTATTTTAAACTCTTTTAAAGTCTTTTTTTTCCTGCTCAGTATCACAGAATCCTAAAGTCTTATAAAGGAGATGGTAATTCAAGGGAACAAACTGATAATTATAGCATTTTGCTTTCTAGGGTTTCTATTTTATATATAATGTTGCTTTTTAAAAATATACATGAAATTTTCTAAACATACAGCTTAGCATTCACAAAATAGCCTATTTGTTGTCTAGATTGTTTTATAAAAGAATAATTCTTTGTAAGGTCAGGAATTCCCAATCTTATCTTTGGAAAAAGTTGCAACCAGTTTCCTCTGCTGCCCCCAATCTACAAAAATCTCTATAGACTGTAAAGGAAGTTTTCTGCATAAGTTTTACTTTGTCATTCTACTGAATGCTGGCAGCTTAGAAATACAGCAGACGTAAAGCCTATATACGCTTGTTCAAAACCGATCTTTTCTAGAATCCACTGTTCTAATTTTAGATTTAAGTGGCTGGAGAAGACGATATGCTAGAGATGAGCAGTGATGCTGTCCGAAGTCTTTTTCACTCCTGTGGCCAACCCAAAATGGGGCTCATGAAAATTATGCCCCCCCTCCAGCCAAGAGAAACTTAAGGTGGCTATACCATGTTGGTTGTGACAGTCTTACAAATTTTTAATTGAAAATTTAAGAATAATGCTTAGAAATTTGTTCTTTAAAGAAAAATAGATTTTATAATTGTAAATTTTGTATTTTTGTAGAACTCATTCGTCGGCCTGACTAATCTTGGAGCCACTTGTTACGTCAACACGTTTCTTCAAGTGTGGTTTCTCAACTTGGAGCTTCGGCAGGCACTCTACTTATGTCCAAGCACCTGTAGTGACTACAGGCTGGGAGACGGCATCCAAACAGAAAAAGGTGGGTGGAAAGGGGTCGAGGAGAGCTCTCTTCCTGAACATTTATTTAAACAACATCTTTTTCTTCCTTTTTTTTTTTTTAGTTTTTGAGTCTTGCTCTTGCCCAGGCTGGACTACAGTGACTCACTGCAACCTCTGCCTCCTGAGCTGAAGTGATTCTGCTGCCTCAGACTCTTTGAGTACTTAGGATTACAGGCGCTGGCCACCACGCCTGGCTAACGTTTGTATTTTTAGTAGAGTCAGAGTTTCATTGTGTTTGCCAGCGTAGTCTCATACTCTTGACCTCAAGTGATCCACTTGCCTCGGCCTTCCAGAGTGCTGGGATTACAGGTGTGAGACACTGTGTTAGGGCTAAACCTTTTTATTTTTATTTTTTGAGATGGAGTTTCACTCTTGTTGCCCAGGCTGGAGTGCAGTGGTGCAATCTCGGCTCACCGCAATGTCCGCCTCCCAGGTTCAAGTGATTCTCCTGCCTCAGCCTCCAGAGTAGCTGGGATTACAGGCATGAGTCACCATGCCTGGCTAATTTTGTATTTCAGTAGAGGTGGTGAGAGAGGCACCACCAAACCCTACAGTGCCCTTCACTGATAAGCCTTACCTTCTGGATAACTGGCAAAGGAGAAATATTCGCAGGGCCCATCTTTCATCACTGAGCAGACACAGAAGGGTGGATTTGGAGCTGAGAAGCAATAAGTTAATAACTTAAAGAAGATAAGACTTAGGTCTCTGGGGCTCTTTGAGATCTATGCTTTCTGTTTCTACTCCTTGCATGAAATAAAACTAGCAACTCTAAAATTCTAGGGTTATTCTTCACTTAAGTGTGAATTGCTGTGCTTGAGATTCCTGTCTTTTGTTCAATTTGTGACACTTTAGAATTAATTGGACTTTAGAAATCATGACTAGACACTGTAGTCATGATTGCTGTTGTTGCTTTGATACAGGTAGGCTCTTGCATTTGGGGAGTGTATGTGGACAGTCCTGGCTGCCTCACGACTTCCACAAAACATGGTTGCTAATTCTGTTTCTTTTTTTTTTTCCCTCCCAGACGGAGTCTTGCTCTGTCGCCCAGGCTGGAGTGCAGTGGCGCGATCTCGGCTCACTGCAACCTCCACCTCCCAGGTTCAATCAATTCTGCCTCAGCCTCCCGAGTAACTGGGATTATAGGCACCCTCCACTACACCCGGCTAATTTTTGTATTTTTTTTTTTTTTTTTAGTGGAGATGGGTTTCTTCATGTTGGCCAGGCTCTGGTTCAGGTCTCAAGCTTTTGTTTTCAAGTGATCTGCCTTCTTTGGCCTCCCAAAGTGCTGGGATTACAGGCATGAACCACTGAGCTCAGCCTATTTCTAAGTTTTAAAATGATAATAAAGTATTAATATAGTTTGGTTGTAAGGGTGTTTATGTTCTCACGTGAAGAGGCAGTACCATTTTAAAAAAAGAAAAGTAGTAACTTAAAAAAAGGCAAATTTATATTTTTCTTTCAATAGATTATGAGCCTCAAACAATTTGTGAGCACCTCCAGTACTTGTTTGCCTTGTTACAAAACAGTAATAGGCGATACATTGATCCATCAGGATTTGTTAAAGCCTTGGGTCTGGACACTGGGCAACAGCAGGTAAGAACTATATATTTTTTTATTTTTATTTTTTAAATATTCAGAGGTACCGAAGCATTCCTTAGAATGTTTATAAAGGGGGATTAAGTAGAATGCTTTTTAAACATTATTTTCTTTCTATTTTGAATGAAAGCCTTTAATTACTGTCTAGTACGTTATACATTATACTTGATTCCATTTATGGAGATTCATATGTGGGCACAAACTGATTGAACACAGTGGTAGCCCCTGTTTGAAAATGCTGAGTTGAAAGTATAGGTAGTTTCTGGAATGTTAACTGTATTGCCATTTGTAGTTTAAGTGGAAAAGCAAGATAATAATTTTTCTTTTCATTAACCTAAACTTGAAGGATGCTCAAGAATTTTCAAAGCTCTTTATGTCTCTATTGGAAGATACTTTGTCTAAACAAAAGAATCCAGATGTGCGGAACATTGTTCAACAGCAGTTCTGTGGAGAGTATGCCTATGTAACTGTGTAAGTTTGTTTTGACTTTGTCATGGTACATTTCATTCTAAAACAGTTACTCATATGTTAACTATTTTTCAGTGCAGTTCCTGATTATAGTTTTAGTGGGTTATCATGGGACCTGAAATATTTATAGTAATACATTTCCATGCGAACATGTAAACAAGTGACTTGGTAATTGCATTTGAACCCAGCCAGGTGTTAGGAACTATGTCTGGGTAAGCTCTTGCCATCTGCCCTTGCTTTATGGCTGTGTGGTGTGAGTGAGCTAAAGAGTAAGATTGGAGCTGGCTGGAATACTAAAAGTAAATGTAAAATGCCTCTTTAAAAGTTTCCATGAGTACAGTGTACAACATTTGGGTGATGGTTACATTAAAACGTAGACTTCACCACTGTGTGTTATATTCATGTAACAAAACTGTACTTGTACCTGTTAAATTTATATTAAGAAAATTTCCCAACGAATACTTAGCCTCACCAGTCACTTTCTGTTTTTATTTCATTTTTAGTATATGTAACAAGTAATTTATGTGAAAGAGAATTAAGATTATAAATGCTTTTTTCCATCTTTCTATATGTACTACAATAGAACTTTCTTGCTTTCCCCACTCTGATCTGAATTTTGTCATTTTATTATAGTTGCAACCAGTGTGGCAGAGAGTCTAAGCTTTTATCAAAATTTTATGAACTGGAGTTAAATATCCAAGGCCACAAACAGTTAACAGATTGTATCTCGGAATTTTTGAAGGTATTTAAATTTTGGCGTATATATTGTACCTGCCCATTAACAGTTAAATGTTATTCTGAAGGGTGTTTTGATTTAGTGGCTAGCGCTTTTATTGTGTCAGCTTTTTCTACATAAGAAGCGTCTGTGTTTGTGTAATGATCCAGAAGAAACTTTATGAAGTACCAAAGCAAGCTGTGTCTTAAAAATGATTTTGGTTATTTCAAGTTATTTTATATGTAAAGTTATGTATGTGTGAAAAGATTCTGTGATTGTGGGTAGTGGGCTATTGAAAGAATGCTAAGCTCGGTTATCTTAAAGATAATTTACCTTGTGCGATGAAAACTAGAATGTGTTATTTTTTTACATTGATACGGTCTTTCTGCTTTCTGTATATTTAGATTCATGTGGAGATAATTAAATGATTCCTTTCTGTTCTGAGTGGAAAACTGCTAAGAGGAACTCTTTGTTGTCAAGCATGAATGTATACATAGCGTAATAGACAAGCTTATTATCCAGCTAGATGTCTTCAGATATTTTTGTGCTTTCCGACTTCCTCGGCTCATCCAGAGCATGCCTGAAATAGTCAGTGAATTCATTTAGCTGAATATTTATTGAGTGCTTACTCTGTGTCAGACACTGTTTCAGCTGTTGGGGATTGGCCTTTATGGAGCCTGTAAAGTAGTGGTGTGGATACCAGGGAGGGACAGTAAAATAAATAAAGTTAGAATATATAGTGGGTAAGTGCTCTGGAGAAAAAGAAAGCAGGGAGTAGGGTGGGGTGGGGGCAATTTGTAATAAAGTGGTCGAAGGCGAAGCGGTGAGTGTCCTAAGAATCAAGAAGAGTGTCCTGGGCAGAGCTCGAGATGAGAACATGCCTGGTGGATTGAGGAACGGGGTAGGGGGTTGGGGGGTGTGGGTGGATGTGGCTGAAGTGAATAAGCAAAGGGAGAATGATAGAAGATGAAGTCAGATAGAAGGTTTATCAGATAGGGCCTGGTAAACCTTGGTCAGAAGTTTGACTTTTACTCTGGGTGAGGTTGAGGTGTCATCAGGGTCATATGCATATGAGTGATACAGTCTGTTTTAACAGGCTAACTGTGGGTGCTGTCTTGAGAATAGGCTGAAGATGGGTTAAGGGCAGAGAGGAGTGCATGGTGGCTTGGACCATGGGTTAACTGAAGAGGTGATAAGCACGGTTTGGCTTTTAGATACATTTTCTAAGAGCAGTTAGAATTTGCAGGCTGGGGCTGGTTGTGGTGGCTTAGGATCACTTGAGACTAGGAGTTTGAGACCAGCCTAGGCAACATAGTGATAGACCGTCTTTGCAAAAAATAAAAAAATGAACCAGGCATGGTGTTGAACAGCTATAGTCCCAGCTACTCAGGAGGCTGAGGCAGGAAAATTGCCTGAGCTCAGGAGTTTGAGGCTGTCATTAGCTATGATTGCACCACTGCACCCCAGCCTTGGTGACAGAGCAAGACGTTATCTGTTAAAAAAAAAAAAATTTTTTTTTTTTAATTTGCAGAGTGGACATGGAGAGTAAGAGTCAAGGATTACTAAGGTTTTTGGCCTGATCAACTAAAAGAATGGAATTGCTCTGACTGAGATGGGGAGGACCTGGGAGGAGCAGGGTTGGCTTTGAGCATGTTACATTTGAGTGGTATAGTTCCAGGGAGAAGTCTTGGCTGGATAAAATCACCAAGAGAGTGGGAGAGACACAAGGACTGAGTCCTGGGACGTTCAAATGTTAGGGAGCAGGGAGGTGGGAGCAGCTGGCACCGGAGGCTGTGGAGGAATGCCAGGGAATTAGGAAAGTGTGACTGGTGTCCTGGAAGCCAAGTGAAAAGATGATGGTACCAGTATTGTATTACTTAAGTAATATTGTGCAAAAAGCTTGAGCTTACGAGTTTGAGGCTTCGGTTAGCTGTGATTGGCTGCAGTTAGCTTCATAGAAATATAAAGGCAAATTTTATTTATTAATAATTATTATTTTTGAGACTGTCGCCTGGGCTGGAGTGTAGTTGTGCAATCTCAGCTCACTGCAACCTTTTGCCTCCCAGGTTCAAGCGATTCTCCTGCCTCAGCCTCCCGAGTAGCTGGGATTATATGTGCCTACCACTGTGCCCAGCTAATTTTTTTGTATTTTTAGTAGAGGCTGGGTTTCACCATGTTGGCCAGGCTGGGCTTGAACTCCTGACCTCGTGATTTGCCCACCTCAGCCTCCTGAAGGGCTGGAATTACGGGCATGACCCACTGCACCTGGCCAAGGCAAATTTTAAAAAGAAACCACTATCAGCGAAAATGTTTGATTTTTTTACACGTTTCTTTTTAGCTTTGTCTCATGAATGTGTTTCAGTAATTTTAACCAAATATGTATATAATTTTGTATTCTGGTACCCATATATAGTTTTTACTACCACCCCCCATTTTTTTATCTATCTATCTATCTATCTATGAATGAATGACTGACTGACTGAGTCTTGCTCTGTCACCAGTGCAGTGATGTGATCTCGGCTCCTGGACCGCAGGCTCCTGGGTTCAGGCAATTCTCCTGCCTCAGCCTCCCGTGTAGCTGGGACTACCAGCATACACCACCATGCCCAGCTAATTTTTGTTTTTGTCCTTTAGTAGAGATGGGATTTCACTGTGTTACCTAGGCTGGTCTCAAACTCTTCAGCTCAGGCAGTCCGCCTGCCTCAGCCTCACAAAGTACTGGAATTACAGGCATGAACCACTGTGCCCGGCCTTTTTTTAAAATTTTTTCAAGATGTAGTCTCACTCTACCAGGCTGGAGTGCAGAGGTGTGATCTCAGCTCACTGCAAGCTCTGCCTCCCGGGTTCAAGTGATTCTCATGTCTCAGCCTCCGGACTAGCTGGGACCACAGGTGTACACCACCACGCCTGGCTAATTTTTGTATTTTAGTAGAGACAGGGTTTTACCATGGCGGCCAGGCTGTTCTTGAATTCCTGGCCTCAGTGATCCACCCACCTTAGCCTCCCAAAGTGCTTGGATTACAGGCATAAGCCATGCTGCCCAGCTTTTTTTTTTTTTTTTGAGACGGAGTTTCGCTCTTGTTATCTAGGAGTGCAATGGCGCGATCTCGGCTAACCGCAACCTCCGCCTTCTGGGGTTCGGGCAATTCTCCTGCCTCAGCCTCCTGAGTAGCTGGGATTACAGGCACGTGCCACCATGCCCAGCTAATTTTTTTTTTTTGTATTTTTAGTAGAGACGGGGTTTCACCATGTTGACCAGGATGGTCTCGATGTCTCTTTTTTTTGAGATGGAGTTTCACTGTTGTTACCCAGACTGGAGTGCAATGGCACGATCTCGGCTCACTGCAACCTCCGCCTTCTGGGTTCAAGCAATTCTCCTGCCTCAGCCTTCCGAGTAGCTGGGATTACAGGTGTGCACCACCATGCCCAGCTAATTTTTGTGTTTTTAGTAGAGACGGGGTTTCACCATGTTGATCAGGATGGTCTCAATCTCTTGACCTCGTGATCCACCCGCCTCGGCCTCCCAAAGTGCTGGGATTATAGGCGTGAGCCACCGCGCCCGGCAAAGCTGTGGGCTGTCCAGCCTTTTTAACCGTTTTTAAATTAATGTTGCATCAAAATACATGTGACATTTCTTTTTAAAACCTACATCAGAATTCCCAGAAAAATGGGATTACCAAGGCACATAACCTAAAACAAGCATTTTTAACATCATGCATTTGGGAAACAGGCTCATCAGTTTTAAATATCATCGCATACAAATTGATAATGTCACTGCTGAGCAGTTCCCATTACTTTTGTGTGTCCATTATTTATAGCAGCTACTGTTAAATAGCTTAAGTCAGAGCTATTAACTAAAATGAAAGGGTTTTATCACTTGTTTTAAACCTATCTTCTTTTTTAAATTAATATGTCTTATTCCTGATCAGGAAGAAAAATTAGAAGGAGACAATCGCTATTTTTGCGAGAACTGTCAAAGCAAACAGAATGCAACAAGAAAGATTCGACTTCTTAGCCTTCCTTGCACTCTCAACTTGCAACTCATGCGTTTTGTCTTTGACAGGTAAATGTGTGCCAAATAGTAGCGTTTGTTGTTCATTGTGTGCTAATATGGACAGACTTTACCATCGATAGATGAGATGATAAAATTTTGAAACTCTAGATTTGAGGATGAAAGTTATAGATGGACCTTGCCATTTTGAAATGTTAGTATTTTATGATTTTATCATAAAAATTTTAAAGAAGCCAGCCGTTGATAACTAAAAAGCTAAAAAATTCTTACATTTATTATTCTCAGAAAGTAGAATAAAGAATTCTTGGGCAATAAGAATGAAACTCTGTCTCAGGAAAAAAAAAGAAAAATTGCAAGGAACTGAATTACCCTGACCTTCTAATATTACTTGATATTTTAAATAGAATAGATTTTGTAATCATTACACCCATGGAGTGTATATTTCATTTTATAATAAAAATCAAGGCAGTGTCAGCACATGTGCGTGCGTCTTCTGTAAAGCAGAAGAATTTGTTTCTTTTGTGATTAAGTTGAAACTTGTGAAAAATAAGCTGTGTTTGGAATCAGCACTTTGAATTCACATTTTTTTATTTTTTTTTAATTTTTTAAAGAAGGGGTTTCACCATGTTGGTCAGGCTCCTCTTGAACTCCCGACCTCAGGTCATATGCCCGCCATGGTCTCCAAAGTGCTTGCATTACGGGTGTGAGCCACCACACCCAGCCTTGAATTCGCCTGTTTTTTTTTTGAGATGGAGTCTTGCACTGTTGCCAGGGCTAAAGTGCAGTAGCGCAATATTGACTCACTGCAACCTCCGTCTCCCAGGTTCAAGCGATTCTCCTGCCTCAGCCTCCTGAGTAGCTGGGACTACAGGCACTCGCCACTACATCCAGCAAATTTTTTGTATTTTTAGTAGAGATGGGGTTTCACTATGTTGGTTAGGATGGTCTCCATCTCCTGACCTCATGATTCACCCGCCTCGGCCTCCCAAAGTGCTGGGATTACAGGCGTGAGCCACTGTGCCTGGCCTGAATTCACATTTTTAAACCTATTATTATTTGTCCATCTAAAAAACAATATTCTGTTTACCTCTAATTATACAGGTTTTAGAGGAAGATTGTTAAGTGAAAGCTAACTACTGTTGAGTTTACTAAAATAGCTAATAGAGCTTATATATTGTATTATGATTGCTTTAAATTTAAATATAATCAGCTTTCCTCTTGATTAGGCAAACTGGACATAAGAAAAAGCTGAATACCTACATTGGCTTCTCAGAAATTTTGGATATGGAGCCTTATGTGGAACATAAAGGTAATATTTTTACTGAGGAGTAAACATTTTATTGCTCAGAGACTCTAACTTGTGACTGGCTTGTGACGAATATGGAATAGCAGTCAATTGCCAATTTTGTTTATTAATATCTCTCTGGGAATCTCTGTCTAGAAACAAAGACTTTTTTAAGAGAACCAAGATGTTAATTCCATTTTGTGTGAGTAAGCACATAGCAAAGATTAGGTAGTTCATCTATATGTACAGAATTAAGGGTATAAAAATATTTTGTCATTCTTCAAAACTAACAGTCTCCAAAACTAACAAGCTGTCTCCATTCACTTTTTAAAAACGTTGTCCCAAAAACTTTAGGTGGCATAATTCCTGTATTTATGATTTTCTTTTTCTTTTTTTGAGACGGAGTTTCGCTCTTCTTACCTAGGCTGGAGTGCAGTGGCGCGATCTCGGCTCACCACAATCTCCGCCTCCTGTGTTCAGGCAATTCTCCCACCTCAGCCTCCTGAGTAGCTGGGATTACAGGCACGCGCCACCATGCCCAGCTGATTTTTTGTATTTTTAGTAGAGACGGGGTTTCACCATGTTGACCAGGATGGTCTTGATCTCTTGACCTCGTGATCCACCCGCCTCAGCCTCCCAAAGTGCTGGGATTACAGGAGTGAGCCACTGCGCCTGGCCCTATGCTTTTATTTTTCATATCTGTTACCACTAATATGTCCTAGGATGCTATCATTGTTTTAACAAGAAATAAGCACTGCTTATTTCTTTTGGTAGTCTTCATCCTACCAAACAGGATGAGTCTTATTAGAGAAAGGACTTTTTTACTTCCCTTTAAGGTTGTATTACTAATGTATTTATTAATTTTTGAGACGGAGTCTTGCTCTGTTGTCCAGACTGGAGTGCAATGGCATGATCTCAGCTCACTGCGACCTCCGCCTTCTGGGTTCAAGTGATTCTTCTGCCTCAGCCTCCCTTGTACCTGGGATTACAGGTGCACACCACCAGGCCTAGCTAATTTTTGCACTTTAAGATTTTGCTTTGTTGGCCACTCTTGTCTCAAATTCCTGGCCTCAAGTAGTCTAGCTGCTTCAGCCTCCCAAAGTGCTGGGATTACAGGCATGAGTCACTGAGCCCAGCCTGAAATTTTTAATAAAGAAATTATTTCATAAAAACTCTCTCTTTCTACAAAAAGACAACATTTCTAGAGGCAACTTACAATGGAAGCAAGCTATAAAAACCTTTAAGAGACACGGGAAAGTTGGGGAGGAATGTGCTAAATGAATATGTGAGCTTTCAAATGTATGATACTCTCAGTACTGTGCTTTAAAATTTGTACCTCTTTGGAAGAAGGAAACTGTACCAACTTCACTTTTGGACTTCATTGTTATATTGTTATATTTTGTTGAATAAATAAACTTAGCTCTAGTTCATTTTATGTGTAGTGGTTAGCTTCCTGCTTCCTTTGTTTAGGTAATGGAAATTGAGGAAAATCTAATGGGTTAGTGGCTCTCCAGTTTAGAAACTTAGGAGATGTGAAATGAATGAGCACTTTGACTCTACTAGATAGGCTTGAATTGTTAGTATTAATAGTTCTTAAGTTTATATATATATTAGCCCAGTTTATACTATAAAGAAAATATTTATCAAAAGGATGTGTTAAATCAAAACCTGTAGAAATATTTAATTCTATGTTGGTTTACAAAATATAGTAAACTCTTAATTGTAATTTTTTATTTTTTATTATTTTTTTTCAAGATGGGATCTGGCTCTATTGCCCAGGCTGAATTGCAGTGATGTGATCACTGCTCACTATAGACTCACCTTCCTGTGCTCAAGCAATCCTCCCACCTCTCCTCCTGAATAGCTAGAGCTACAGGCATATGCCACCACACCCAGCTAATTTAAATAAATTGTTTTAGAGTCAGGGCTTGAACTCCTGGGCTCTAGTGATCGTCCCACCTCAGCCTCCCAAAAGTGCTGGGATTACAGGCATGAGCCACTGTACCTGTCTGAATTTTTTTTTTAAAGAGAGATGAGATTTCACCATGTTGGCCAGTCTGGTTTTGAACTCCTGACCTCGTGATCCACCCACCTTGGCCCCCCAAAGTGATTACAGGCGTGAGCCACCGAGCTGGGTCCCGTGTCCTTAATTTTTTTTTCTTTTTTTTTTTTTTTTTGAGACGGAGTTTCACTCTTGTTATCCAGGCGGGAGTGCAATGGCGAGATCTCGGCTCACCGCAACCTCCGCCTCCTGGATTCAGGCAATTCTCTTGCCTCAGCCTCCTGAGTAGCTGGGATTACAGGCACACGCCACCATGCCCAGCTAATTTTTTGTATTTTTAGTAGAGATGGGGTTTCACCATGTTGACCAGGATGGTCTCGATCTCTTGACCTCATGATCCACCTGCCTCGGCCTCCCAAAGTGCTGGGATTACAGGCGTGAGCCACTGGGCCCGGCCTCCGTCTCCTCAATTTTTAAGTAAATAAATAAATATTATCTTCTTATTTTAGAATTGTTTGCTAGGACTGGTAAAAGCAATCTAGTGGTTTATAGTTATAGGCTTGTCTTTTACATGCTGTCGTAATGCTTGTTCCCTTATATAGGTAGAAGAATAAAAACAACTTTTGTTAATTGCTTAGGGTTCTAGATGATTTGGGAAATTCAGAAAGCATAAAGAAAAAAAATAAAAGCCACATGTAATTCTGTCATCCAGATAATTAGTATTTATATTTTCCCATACTCACATAACCACACAAAGCTACCAAAAAAAAAAAAAAAAAGATGATCTATGGTTTTTTTTTTTTTTTTTTTTTGCCAATCAGTTTGAGCTTATGAGGTTGCTCAGGTTAGCCTTGAACTGATGACCTCGCCTTGGCGAGCGCCATGAGCTCCGGCGGGAGCCACTTTGGACCCCGATGATCTATGGTTAAAAGGAGAATCCACTTGTTTCTTTAAACGGTGAGCCTGCAGATATGCAGAGTTCTTCAGAATGAAAGGTCCTCATTTTCGAATATTTGCCCCTGACTCTCTAACTCAAGTCTTGCCATGTTTCTTGGGGATTTAAAAACTATGCTTTTTTGTTTTTGTTTTTGTTTTTTTGTGATAGAATTTCACTCTGTTGCCCAGGCTGGAATGCAGTGGCATAATCTCGGCTCACTGCAACTTCTACCTCCTGGGCTCAAGCAATTCTCCTGCCTCAGCCTCCCGAGTAGCTGGGATTACAGGTGCCCACCACCACGCCTGGCTAATTTTTTGTATTTTCAGTAGAGATGGGGTTTCACCATGTTGATCAGGCTGGTCTTGAACTCCTGACTTCATGTGATCCGCCTGCCTCGACCTCCCAAAGTGCTAGGATTACAGATGTGAGCCACGGCACCTGGTCTAAAACTATCTTAATTCTGAAGTGTGTTTTTATTTATACATTTATTTATTTATTTATTTAGAGACAGAGTCATGGTCTGTTACCTAGGCTGGAGTGCAGTGGGTGCGATCTCTACCCACTGCAACCTCCGCCTCCCAGGTTCAAGTAATTCTCCCTGCATCAGCCTCCCGAGTAGCTGTGTTTACAGGCACTCATCACCATACCCAGCTAATTTTTGTATTTTTAGTATAGACAAGGTTTCACCATTTTGGCTAGGCTTGTCTTGATCTCCCAACCTCAGGTAATCTGCCCACCTCAGCCTCCCAAAATGCTGGGATTACAGGCTTGAGCCACCACATCTGGCCTTAAAGTTGATTAGTTTAATGAATTGATGAGTATGAGTCCAGGTTATCTCTAAGAATGGTAATGTGATGTCAGCATTTTTAATGCTGTCTATTGGTAATACATGTATAGCTACTGCTAATACCTGTGGATTATTGTTTTCATTAATGATACAGGGAATACTAATACGATTCCTTTGGATGCTCCTTCCAGCTGACCTAATAACAACTTCTCTCCTTCAGTGATCTTGCCTTCCACCCTTGATCAGCCCTTACTCAGTGCCTTACCTTGCCTTGTCCTTCCATAGTTGAAGTTTCATGTATCTCAGTCTATTTTATTTTTAAATTTTGAAATATATCTTATTCCTAAAAGTTTAAGATGCAAAAATGCATGGCTTGGTGAGTTATGAATTATGTACACTCCCCAGATGAAGAAAGAAGAACATTTTCCCCAGAAGCCTCTTTGTGCCCCTCCCAGCTGCACAGTTAAAACCTCCTTCCTCCCCTTAAGTGTAACCACTTAGCTGACTTTCATGTTGAACGCTTCTTTTATTGTTTTTCTTCTTTGGCATTTTACTATATAAGCATGCATCCCTGTACATCGTTTACTCATTTTTCTACTGGGATATTGCCAGCCACAGCGTAACCCATAATTAAATCTTCCTCTGCTTCCCCTGCTTTTTCACCTGGATTATTGAGGGTAGCAGGAGAAGAACCCCACTGGTGATGCCTCCAGATCTTGCTAAGTCCATGATTGTTAACCATATCATACTTTGTTCCTCCCAGACCTTGGAATGTCTTTGGATACTGCTACCTTCTGTGTTTTCAGCTGAGGTTTCATCTGTTGGACGTGCTTGTGTTTCTGAGAACTAGGTCCTGCTGAGGTTGCTAGAACCCAGTGTACTGCAGACTTCCATTCTCTGGAGGCTCACACATTTCTGGAAAATTCTGGGCTTTGGTTCCCCTTCAGCCTTCTTTCCTTTTCTCTTACCCTCCTCCTTTCTCATGTCTTGCAAAATGATGTGCTTTTGACCAATTAGGGTCAGTAGAGCCACAAATAGATAGATATGTATCACCTTTCTCAGTTATGGATGTATTTAAAATGTTGTCATCAATATTTGCTTGTAAATGTGTTAAAGGCATCCAGAATATTAAAAAAAAATTTTTTAAACCAATTTAAACATTAAAAACACCCAGTTTTTATAATTCATGACTGACACTGTTGGAATAGTGTTCAGGCTGGTCTGTCTGTCTGAGCTGGTTATTTCAGTGTTGGTTTGTTTCGTCTGTTCCTGGTTGTTTTTGACCGCATGCTGGTTACTGCACAGAGAGAGAATTATTTATGGGGATTCCCCTAAGGCTGGGATATATGCCATTTCCTCCACAAAGCCCTTAGGTTTATTTCTTTCAGAGATTTGGGGCCTCTACTAATTAGGTATGATCACAAAGTTCAAGGATTGAGGTTCCCTGGCTTACACAAGCTGGAAGAACTTGGTATGGCCAATCTGAGACTGTGACATTTCTTACCCTGCCCTTTTAATTTTACTGCTCTGTTCAGGACTCAGGTTTCTTTTTCTTTTCTTTTTGTTTCTTTTTTTAAAGATGGGGTTTCACCATGATGGCCAGGCTGGTCTTGAACTCCCGACCTCAGGTGATCCACCCACCTCAGCCTCCCAAAGTGCTAGGATTACAGGCGTGAGCCACCATGCCTGGCCTTTTTTTTTTTTTTTCCCTTTTTTTGAAACATAGTCTGTCACCCAGGCTGGAGTGCAGTGGCGCGATCTTGGCTCACCACCATCTCTGCCTCCCGGGTTCAAGCTATTCTCATACCTCAGCCTCTCAAGTAGCTGGGCTTACAGGCATGTGCCACTGTGCTTGGCTAATTTTTGTATTTTTAGTAGAGACGGGTTTTCACCATGTTGACCAGGATGGTCTCGATCTGTTGACCTTGTGATCCACCCGCCTCGGCCTCCCAAAGTGCTGGGATTACAGGCTTGAGCCACCACGCCCGGCCTGGTTTGATTTTTAATTGATTTATTCTTCTCACCTAGGGCATCTGAAAATTTTCCAACTATTACCTTTGAATGTTGTTTCTCTTTTCCCTTTCCTTCTGGAATGCCAGTTAGCTATGTGTTAGATTTTCTTACTCTACGCTGCATGTTGCCCAACTCTTCATTGCTTTGTCCTGCATTCTGCATAATTTCTTTAGCTCCACCTTGTACTTTATGTATTCTCTGTTCAGATGAACCTGATCTGAGGTTTAACCTTTTTATAGAGTTTTGACTGTCGGTGACTGTAATTTCCATTTCTAGGAGTTTGATTTTGTTCATCATTTGATTTTCATTTTCTACAATCTCTAGTCCCATCATTTATTTCTTTAAATGTACTTAAAATTTTATTTATGTATTTGCTGTTTCCACTGACTGAGGTGAAAATCTCCATCGGTTTGCTTTTGTTGCTGTTTGCTGCCTTGCAGTTAGAGTGACTTGTGTTACATGACGTGTGTGTATGTGTTTTGATGGAATTCATTCCTTAGGACTGTCACTCATCCCAGGACCACATCAAACAAAACTCTTGGCTTGAGGTTTTTCTGACTTCGTAGGTAGTGTGAATTCATGGTAAAGAAATCTTTTTGAGGGCTAGCTTCTTATGAAGTTGTAATGGAGACTTGCTTTTTGTTTTTCATTTTTATCCATAGGTCCCAAAGTATACGTATAAGGCAGATAATTTTCTCTTACCATTGATATTCTTCTAAACCAAAGAATTCTATTTCAAAGGAAATGTGGTATATATACACAATGGAATACTGTTCAGCGTTAAATGGGAAGCAGGAAGGATCTTCTGTCATATGTGATCACATGGATGAATCTGGAGGACATTGTGCTAAGTGAAACAAGCCAGGCTAAGAAAGACAAGTACTGCATGATCTAATCTATACTATATATAGAATCTAAAAAAGTCAAATACATACAGATAGAGAAGAAAAGCAATTAAAAAAAATAAGATAATAAAATAGAGAAGAAAATGGTGGTTACCAGAATCTAGGGAATGAGGTGGTAGGTGGCAGAGGCAATGAGGAATCGGGAGGTGATGTTTAAAGAGTACAAAGCTTCAGTTAAACAGGACGAATGTGTTTTGGAGAGTTATGCACAACATGGTGACTATAGTTCATAATGCATTGTACATTTTGAAATAGCTAAAAAACAGGTTTTAAATGTTCTCACCACAAAAAATAGTTATGTTGGCCAGGCGAAGTGGCTCACAACTGTGAGGCCGAGGCGGGTGGATCACGAGGTCAGGAGTTAAAGACCAGTCTGGCCAAGATGGTGAAACCCCGTCTCTACTAAAAATACAAAAATTAGACAGGTATGGTGGTGGGTGCCTGTAATCTCAGCTACTCAGAAGGCTAAGGCAGGGAATTGCTTGAATCCTGGAGGCAGAGGTTGCAGTGAGCCTTGATCACGCCACTGCACTCCAGCCAGGGCCACAGAGCGAGACTCCATCTCAAAAAAAAAAAACAACACAAAAATCCAGGTTATATTAATTAGTTTGATTTAATAATTCCATGATGTAAACATATCAAACATTACATTGTACCCATAAATATATACAAATATTATTTGTCAATTTAAAAAGAACCTTAGTTTTCTGGTGGGAGTCCCCAGTTAGATACGTCATCTTTTATGAACCTTAACTGTTGTCTCTGATCCCATACGCCCCTTGAGATATGGTAAAACAGAGTTCAAGTTGATCATAGTGTTCCCCTAATGCTCCCAGAGGGAAACTCTATTGTGCTTACTACCTGGCTGTTGCCATCATATGGTATTGGGCTTCTGAGAATTCTTATTTTCTTGCCAGATAATTAGTTCATTTAGAAAGATTTAAAAATATTTTTACACTTGATCTTAGCCAAAAGGCCGAGAAGTGATGAGATTTTAAAATATTTTTATCTTACCCAGTATTTTCAGCTGGGGTGAATTCAGTGGGTTTTGGTCCAGGTATTAATCTGCATTACTGTTTCCCCCACTATGCTGCAACAATGCAGGGACTTTGTTCATTTAGTCAATTGCTGTATCCTTCATGCCTGAAACTGTGTCCAGCATGTTTATTGTTTGTCTAATGAGTGATTGGCTATACCCTGCTGTTACTTACTCTTTGCATTTTTAAGGAAATTATACCAATGAAATAGTCAAATTCTAGCTTGGGCAACACAGCGAGACCCTGTCTATTAAAAAAAAGTGGGGGGGATGTTGGGCGTGGTGGCTCACGCCTGTAATCCCAACACTTTGGGAGGCCAAGGCAGGTGGATTGCCTGAAGTCTGCCCCATCTCTACTAAAAATACAAAAAATAGCTGGGCATGGTGTCAGGTGCCTGTAATCCCAGCTACTTGGGAGGCTGACGCAGGAGAATTGCTTGAACCCAAGTGGCGGAGGTTGCAATGAGCCGAGATCTCACCACTGCACTCCAGCCTTGGCAACAAGAGCAAAACTCCATCTTAAAAAAAAAAATGGTCAGGTGCAGTGGCTCAAGCCTATAATCCCAGCACTTTGGGAGGGAGGTCAGTAGTTCAAGATCAGCCTGGCCAACACAGTGAAACCCTGTCTCTACTAAAAATACAAAAATTAGCTGGGTGTGGTGTTGGGTGCCTGAAATCCCAGCTACTTGGGAGGCTGAGGCAGGAGAATTGCTTGAATGCGGAATGTGGAGCCCAGCCTGGGGAACAAGAGCAAAACTCCATCTGAAAATAAATTAATTAATTTGAAAAAATTAAAATGTATGCTTCTTGTCCCAGCTACTCCAAGAGGCTGAGGTGGAAGGATCACTTAAGCCTAGGAGGTTGAAGCTGCAGTGAGCTGTGATTGTGCTACTGTACTCCAGTCAAGTGACAGAGCAAGACCCTGACTCAGGGTGGGAGGTGGGGGGGAGGGGCAGTCAAAGGTCTGTGCAAAGATTTGTACTGCAAAGTTAATTATTGCCTATAAAGACCCTGAAATGCTACCAGTTTAAATGTTCATTAATATGAGTGTGGTTAGGTACATTATGGTAATTATATATAGTCATTATAAATTTTAGAAGAATAATGATGTGAAAAGATAATATTTGTTAGAAAAAAAACTGTAGGTTTTAGTATTAGTTGTGGTTATGTGGGTTTATCAATGATTCTTTTTGTTTTCTAGTAAATAATAGAACATATATAGTGGAAGTTATCTTTTCTAACACATTTCCCCATAATTGCTTTAAGTTTAGGATCTCTGAAAGATGTTTTTCAAACTTTAAGACATTTTAATTCATTTTTAAATGTAAATGTTCATTCACTGTCAATTAAGTTTTAATTCTGTAACACATCAGAGAGTATGAACAGCTTTCTTGGTAAGTGTGTGGCCTCTCTAGCCTGTGCTGAAGAGCACAGTATTTAGTAGAGTAGCTTAAACTCCCTGAGTCCCCAGGAGGCTGTTGTTTTTCATCTGTGTATTTTGCAGAGGGCTTGGAGAGTTAATACAGTGTGCTGTTTAAGAGAGTGTTAAGGTAATGTAATTATACATTATTTTGTAAAACTAATTTTTAAAAATTGTAGGTGATGTGTTTTTAGTTATACCAGTATAAAGATTCATAGTCTTTACAGTTGAGGCTCAGGATATAAGAAATACTGTTATCCAGTGTTTCTTTTACTTTCTCCCTTTCTCTCCAGGTGGGTCCTATGTGTATGAACTCAGTGCAGTCCTCATACACAGAGGAGTCAGTGCTTATTCTGGCCACTACATCGCCCACGTGAAAGATCCACAGTCTGGTGAATGGTATAAATTTAATGATGAAGACATAGAAAAGATGGAGGGGAAGAAATTGCAACTAGGGATTGAGGAAGATCTAGGTAAAACCTTTAAGTTGTGAGTGCCCTTTTAAAATATAAATTTATTTTACTAGAAATATTTGTGATGCATTATTCTGGCTCAAGATTGTTATGTTGTGGACCGTCAAGGATATTTGCGTTTATTTTATTTTATTTTTTTAACTTTCCAAGCTAAGATATTTGCATTTCTTAAACACATGTAAAATCATCTTGTATTAGCAATGCTTGTTTTTTTTGAGTCAGGGTCTTACTCTGTTGCCCAGATGCAGTGGTGCAATCACGGCTCACTGCAGCCTCAACCTCCTAGGCTCACATGATCCTCCCACCTCAGCCTTACTAGTAGCTGGGCCTACAGATGTTTGCCACCACATCTGGCAAAATTTTGTCTTTGTTTTTTGAAACAGAGTCTTAACTCTGTCACCCAGGGTGGGGTGCAGTAACACGATCTCAGCTCACTGTAACCTCTGCCTCCTGGGTTCAAGCAGTTCTCATGATTCAGCCTCCTGAGAAGCTGGGATGATAGGCATGTGCCACAATGCTCAGCTAATGGTTTTTCTTTCTTTTTGAGGTGGAGTTTTGCTCCTGTTGCCTTCTTGCCCAGGTTAGAGTGTAATGCCAAGATCTCGGCTCACTGCAACCTCTGCTTCCTGAGTTTAAGTGATTCTCATGCCTCAGCCTCCCAAGTAGCTGGGATTACAGACATGTGTCACTATGCCTTTGAACAACCATTTTTTCTTTGCACATTTTAAAATCTAACATTTCCATCACAAATTTTAAGTATCTCCAAATGCTGTAATTTATGACAGATTATAAATATTAAAACTTAATTTGTAACATCACTGTTATGAGAATGTCCAGATGATACTAAATAGCATAGAGATTGGATATCTACCACCATCCTTTTCAAGGATACCCGAAAAGGTCTTGTTTTATAGTAGGCGTTTTTAACAATTCCATTTCCTTCTACACCAGTATTTTCATTATGTTTACCCTACAGAATTTTATTCTTATGGAATATACTAAGTTTTTTGTGACTATAAAGCTCTAAATAGTTAAAAAGTACTTCTGGATAGAGTGGTGTTTTTAAAATTATGAATATTACTCCTTAATTGATAAAACTCATAAAGGTGTGTTATAAATTTTATTAAACAGTAAAATTTTTACTGTAAATGTATTTTTTTTTTGTAAATATATCAATGTGATAGGTATGACCCTTGTCTGTCACTCAGAGGTTATATCTTTCTTTTGTGACATGGCAATCAAATGATTGTGAAAGAGAGGTAGAAACCATCATGGGACTTCAGTGTTGAGGCACATCCATTTTAGGAAAGAACATGGTGAACTGAGGATCTGAAAACTGGATTTCCTTGGAAGTGCCCATAACCTCTTTTTTTCTTTTCTTTATTTTTTGAGACGGAGTTTCATTCTTGTTGCCAAAGCTGGAGTGCAGTGGCGTGATCTTGGCTCACTGCAACCACCACCTCCCAGGTTCAAGTGATTCTCCTGCCTCAGCCTCCCAAGTAATGGATTATAGGCCTGCACCACCATGTCTGGCTAGTTTTTTGTATTTTTAGTAGAGACAGGGTTTTTCCATGTTGGTCAGGCTGGTCTCAAACTCCTGACATCAGGTGATCCGCCCACCTTGGCCTCCCAAAGTATTAGGATTACAAGCGTGAGCCACTGTGTCTGGCCCCTCTTTTTTCCTTTTTGAGATGGAGTCTCACTCTGTCTGTCAAGCTTTAGTGCAGTGGCATGATCTCTGCCCACTGCAACCTCTGCCTCCTGGCTTCCAGTGATTCTCCTACATCAGCCTTTTGAGTAGCTAGGATTACAGGTGCATGCCACTATGCCTGGCTAATTTTTTGTATTTTTAATAGAGATGGGATTTCATCATGTTGATCAGGCTGGTTTTGAATTCCTGACCTCAAATGATCTGCCTCCATAACCTCTTGGAAAGTTACCTGGAATAGTGAAACCCAATTGGAAAATCATTTTCATATGCTAAAGTTGCCATCTGAAATATTTCATGTTTTCCACTTGCTGTTTACTTCAAAGAGATTGGTGGCTAATATTTCCGCTTGTTAGCATTTCATTCTTTTTTTTTTTTTTTGAGATTGAATCTCACTCTGTCACCCAGGCTGGAATACAATGGTGTGATCTCAGCTCACTGCAACTTCCGCTTCCTAGGTTCAAGTGATTCTCGTGCCTCAGCCTCCTGAGTAGTTGGGATTACAGGCACACACCAATATACCCAGTTAATGTTTGTATTTTTAGTAGAAATGGGGTTTCATCATGTTGGCCAGGATGGTCTTGATCTCTTGACCTCGTGATCTGCCCGGCTCTGTGTCCCAAAAAATTGGGATTACAGGCGTGAGCCACCGTGGCCAGCTGAAAATATTTTTATTTTTATTTTGAGATGGAGTTTCGCTGTTGTTACCCAGGCTGGAATACAATGGCGCGATCACTGCAACCTCCGCCTCCTGGGTTCAAGCAGTTCTCCTGCCTCAGCCTCCCAAGTAGCTGGGACTACAAGCGCGTGCCACCATGCCCAGCTAATTTTTGTATTTTTTTAGTAGAAGCGGGGTTTCACCTTGTTGACCAGGATGGTCTCGATCTCTTGACCTCGTGATCCATCCGCCTCGGCCTCCCAAAGTGCTGGGATTATAGGCGTGAGCCACCGTGCCCAGCCCACAAGTATTAGTTTTAATGTTGTTTTTTAATAAAATAAAAGTATATATAAAATAGATATGTACAGTTTGAAAAATAAAAATTAGCTCAGTAATCATTTTAGTAAACAGAAGTTCTTCAATTTAGTCAAAATCATAAAAATAAATTAAATTTAATTGCCCTAAGAAATAAAATAGCATATTTTCTTTTCTGTTTTTGAGATGGAGTTTTACTCTTATCTGCCAGGCTGGTGTATAATGGCATGATCTCTGCTCACTGTAACCTCTGCCTCCTGGGTTCAAGTGATTCTCCTGCCTCAGCCTCCCCAGTAGCTGGATTTGAAGTGCATGTCACCACATTCATCTAAGTTGTGTATTTTTAGTAGAGACAAGGATTCACCATGTTGGCCAGGCCGGTCTTGAGCTCCTGACTTTAGGTCATCCTCCTGCCTTGGCCTACCAAAGTGCTGGGATTATAGATGTGTGTCACCGCACCCGGCCTTAAATAGCATGATTTTAGAAAGTGGAATGAAATGGGCCGGATGTGGTGGCTCATGCTTGTAATGCCAGCATTTTGGGGGGCTGAGGCATGTAGATCACCTGAGGTCAGGAGTTCGAGACCAGCCTGGACAACATGGTAGAAGCTCATGTCTACTAAAACTACAAAAATTAGCCAGGATGTGTAATCCCAGCTACTCAGGAGGCTGAGGCAGGAGAATCACTTGAACCCAGGAGGCAGAGGTTGCAGTGAGCCAAGATCGTGCCATTGCGCTTCATCTTGGTGACAGAAGGAGACTCTGCCTCAAAAAAAAAAAAAAAAAAAAAAGAATAAAATATTTCCAGGAGAGTTGAAGTCCCATGTTCCCTTCAGTGATTGCATCAGTCTCGATTTTTATGTATTTATTTATTTATTTTGAGACAGAATTTCAGTCTTTTCCCAGGCAGATTTGCACTGGCACACTGCAACCTCTGCCTCCAGGGTTAAAGCGTTTCCTGCCTCAGCTTCCCGAGTAACTGGGATTACAGACATGTGCCACCATTTCCGGCTACTTTTTGCTACTTTTTGTATTTTTAGTAGAGACGGGGTTTCAGCATGCTGTCCAGATGTGAGCCACCGTGCCTGGCCTATTTTTGTATCAAAATTTATTTTAACTTTTTTCTTTTCTGAGACAGAGTCTCACTTTGTTACCCAGGCTGGAGTGCAGTGGCACAATCTCGGCTCACTGCAACCTCTGCCTCCCTGGTTCAATCAAGTGTCTTGCGTCAGCCTCCCAAGTAGGTGGACTACAGGTGTGCACCACCATACCCAGCTAATTTTTGTATTATTAGTAGAGACAGGGTTTCTCCATGTTGGCCAGGCTGGTCTTGAACCCCTGGCCTCAAGTGATCCGCCCATCCTGACCTAGAGTGCTGTGATTACAAGCATGAGCCACTGTGCCCTGCTTCAGTTAATTTTTATAATTAAGCATAATATTAAAATCAACTTACAGCAAGAGTGATTTTTTTGTTATTCCAGGTTTGTTCCCTAGAAAAATGTATTTTCTTTTCATCTTTTGAAAATGGAATGTGGCAGGCAATAGGGATAGTAAACTTTTTTAAATATTAAAAGCTAAAGAGTCTGTCAAATTTGTATGGCCTTTGAATGTTTTAGATTCGTGTTAATATGTCTTGGGTGTATATTTTGGAAATTGTTTTCTATAGCCCCACTAAAGAATAAACAAACTCTATGCGTTTAAGTTAAGGTACCTTTTGATTTCTCTATCTCAGCAGAACCTTCTAAGTCTCAGACACGTAAACCCAAGTGCGGCAAAGGAACTCATTGCTCTCGAAATGCGTATATGTTGGTTTATAGACTGCAGACTCAAGAAAAGCCCAACACTACTGTTCAAGTTCCAGGTAAGGCAGTTTTCCTGGATTATATCAGGCAGGTGTTTTAGAGTGCCATACTCAAAAATTAATGATAAGGAATAGATTGCTTTTATTTATTATGATAAATTGATTCCATATGATAAATATTGGTGAAAGTAAATATTAATCACATTTACTTTTAAGAAATGAGCATCTGAAATAAAGCAATGCAATTATGAAAAAAATGGGAAAGTAGGCCAGGCATGGTGGCTCATGCCTGTAATCCCAGCAGTTTGAGAGGCTGAGGCAGGTGGATCACGAGGTCAAGAGATCGAGACCATCCTGGTCAACATGGTGAAACCTTGTCTCTACTAAAAATACAAAAAATTAGCTGGGCATGGTGGCGTGTGCCTATAATCCCAGCTACTCAGGAGGCTGAGGCAGGAGAATTGCCTGAACCCAGAAGGCGGAGGTTGCGATGAGCCGAGATCGCGCCATTGCACTCCAGCCTGGGTAACAAGAGCGAAACTCCGTCTCAAAAAAAAGCAAAAAAAACCAAAAAACAAAAAACGAAAAAATGGGAAAGTAATCAAGACATGTATTTAAAGTATAATTTGGTTTTATTTTGTTTAGTTTATGGAGTATTTGTGAATTTTATCCAATTATTTATAAATTTTCTAGACTTCCTAATGAAAAGGTAGCATTGCTGCTGCCCCGAAGACAGTCTTAGTCATTTTACTCACCAGTTTTCTGAGCTTAGTGGTGTCATCTATTCTAAAGTGGTGATTTTGAGCCATTCGATTTTTCTGGGAGGCTGATGATGTCATGGAGAGCTAGGTGAGGGGAATCAACTTAGTATTCCAGTGGCTGTCTTCAGTTTTATTTCTGCCTTCAGATTGGAGGTTTCTAGCAGACAGGGAAACCATAGTTGGAATTTCTGCCAATGTTTTAATCAGTATTTGATATAATTTAGAGATTAGCATGATTCACTATATTTGAATACAAGGATAAAGTTGTTTTTTGTCTTTGTGTTTGAATAGCCTTTCTTCAAGAGCTGGTAGATCGGGATAATTCCAAATTTGAGGAGTGGTGTATTGAAATGGCTGAGATGCGTAAGCAAAGTGTGGATAAAGGAAAAGCAAAACACGAAGAGGTTAAGGAGCTGTACCAAAGGTTACCTGCTGGAGCTGGTCTGTAAGATATTCTGGGACAGCACTGTTGCCATTAAGTGCCTTGTTTTTTTTTATATTCACAAATGTATATGAAGAAACTTGCTTAAACTTACACTTTCTGATAACCCACTAAAGCCAGCTTAAACACTCTAAAAGTACTCTGTAAACCAGCAGTAACTTGATGTGTAGCATACCATATTATTTCATTACCTTGTGCTTTTAAAAACGAGAAGCTGTTAATAAATTATAACATTTAGATCAGCACTCTGCATCCATGAGTATTGTAGATATTTATATTTTGTGAGATACTGACTTGTTTAAGAAAAATCCGATTGGATTACTATGGAAAAAGCAACTTGCCTATTCTGTTTCTTTGGATACTTTGTGACCTAACAGTATTAACAGGCATTCTGTTATATGAGTACAGTTTTTTTTAATACTATTAGATTAAGTTGAAATTTAATATCAAATATTATGCTGAGAGTAGAAAAGCTTTCTGCTGACCCTTGATTTCTTAGTATTATCCTACATAATCCAGTTTTATCCCTTTTCTGTGTATGTTTATTCAGGTTTACCTGGTATCAAAATGAAATCAAATTAAGCCTTTTTAAAGGCTGACGTGCCATTTGTATTAAGTTATCTTTGTCATTTCAAAGACACGAATTCCCAAACCTAACTCCTACTTAAGGAAGAGAGACAATTTAGTCCTTACTTTAGAAAATAAATACTTAAGCATAATTGTACTTGTGGTTTGTCTTTTTAATATCTTAATTTTCCATTACTAGTATAACTTAAAATGTAAACCTAAATTGCTGAGTCTATAAGAATAGATTTTAACTGAATTTTAATTTGATTCTGACCCTTCTTTGTAATCTGTTACTTTAATTCTGTCCAAGGGTTGGCATTATCAATTAACCTGACCTTAATTTAACTGGAAATGATTTGGAAATGAACCCATGATTTAAATCTATAAATTTATAGGTCTTTGTTCAAAGGTGTCAGGACCTAGAAATCTATTTTTTGAACCTTATTCACGGTTTCCTGTGTCCACTGGACAAGAGAAAGGGACTTAACTGGGTCTAAAGTGAAATACTTACTTGAACCACTCTTTAGAACTACAGAGTTCAAAGATGTTATATGTCAAGTTAGCACTGTGCTTCCTTTGGATGTTTTCATTCAGCATATAAGAACCTTATGTTCTTAGAATATGTGTGTGTTCTTAGAATATTTCTCTGTGTTATTTATACTTTTACCAATTATGAGCTATATAATTATTTTCCATTTGCAGTAAACTTATATTGTAGAAAATCCACATTCTAAAATCATGTAGAAGCTCAAAGTTAATGAGCATGGTTTTGTGCTGGCAAGAGAAATCTTTTGTTAGGCATTTCTAAATCTTATTTTTGTGTGTGAACATATCTAAGGAAAGATCTTCCTAAAATCTAAGCCTTACTAGAAATGTGCTTTTGGCCCTTTTTATTTCCATGAAATATATACTTAAATTCTCTCTAGATAAAATGTTTCAAATGTTTTTGATGCTGCAATTGTTCTAGACTTTATAACTTTTCAAAGAAAGTGTGTCATGTTCAAAATCTACCGTTTTTTTTTTTTAAATTAGGAAGAACTTTGAACCAAAATATACATTTCGCTGTGTACAATCAGCTCCTCATTTGGAGTTGATTATATCCATGGCCTTTGGAAGGCAATGTTTGTAGTTTACTGAGTCACAAATATGAGGGTTATATTAGAGGGGCGTACTCAGAGTCTTTTTCTAGTGTGGAAACATCTGTATCATAAAAACTTTGCCACAAGCAAAATCTGCCTTAACTATGAGACTTGTGCTCCACTTGTATTCTCAGGCAAGCTCTTGGCAGAGATCAGTGCAACTCTTTGTGATGATAGAGACTGAAAATGGAAAGAAAAGCTTCTGTGACCATATTCACTCTTCCTTCATGGAGCCCGCAGTGCAGAGCACTAAAATGAAATCTGGAAAACTTGCTGAGTTAGTAATAAGCAGCGTATTAGGTTAGAATTCTAGGCCTATTCTCTGCGTTCTTTCTTCCTCCTCTTACTATAAAACCATACATATCGTTTTTCTAATCATCATATCTTACATTAAATTTATATTGGGCAATTCAAAAACCAAAACAGCATGCTTCCCTTGGAAGTTTTCTGTGAGATTGGAAAATGTTGTCTTGAACTAACTGCCTTTGAGTCACATTGTTGCTGGACAGTCAGGGTCACAGTCACCCTAGGCTTTGCATTCCTGCAGACATCCCTGGCAAGGAGGGCATTGTGCATTTTTAGCTTTCCTAGATTCTTTTCATTGTGACGGCCAGGATTCTTAGGGTTTATTCTTTCAGTTAGCAATAACAGGTACTGTCCTCAGTCCACTCCTCCCCAGCTGCTGGGGAAACTAGAATGCCGAGTGAATTTTTCTTGAATGTTGCTCTTTATCACAATCCCGTTTTTTTCTCCTTTGATAGCCTTCATATTACTCACCATTTTAATCTATGTGACTGTCCTTGGGAAAAGATTAGAGAATGCTGAGACTTTTATTTTGCTCTCAGAAAGGGATCATTTATCTTTGCATTCCCCAGATACCCAGTGTACTCTATCCCTGGCAGATTAAGTTTGATAAATGGCAAATAAAGTCGAGAGACATTTTGAATGTAATTAGCCATACCATGATATTACTGTAAAGTGCTACAGCTGTGTTACATCTACTGCATCTTAAGGTCTCTCTCTCTCTTTTTTTTTTTTGACAGAGTTTCACTCTTGTTGCCTAAGCTTGAGTGCAATGGCGCTATCTCTGCTCACCACAGCCTCTGCTGGGATTACAGGCATATGCCACCACACCCAGCTAAATTTGTATTTTTAGTAGATACGGGGTTTCTCCATGTTGGTCAGGCTGGTCTCAACTCCTGACTTCAGGTGATCTACCCACCTCTGCCTCCCAAAGTGCTGAGATTACAGGCATGAGCCACAGTTCCTGGCCAACATCTCCTCTCTTATATATTAAGATTGTATAAATGTATAATTAACTTTTCCATATCTCTTTTCTTCCAAAAAGCTCAAAATGCTTCACATAGCTTATCTTTTATACTCAACAACATCCCTGTGAGGTAGGTAGAAGGCAGGTATTATTACCTTCATTTTACAAATAACAGCCTTGAAGCAAAGACAGTTTGAGTGACTTGCTCAGCTTCATTTTCTTGGTGGCAGAACTTGGATTAGACTGTGGCCTCGACTCACAGTCCTGTGCTCTTCCTCTGCAGCCACATTCAAGTTGACCAGTCAGAAGGTTCTTAGTTGATGTACAGTGCCAAATTTTGTTTTTGTACAAACTGTAATGATTTACTGTAAAATTAAAATGGGAGTTAGTTTTCTAGACATGTAACTCTCTGGGGAGTATAAAACCTGGTCACAATGGGCTTTGCATTGCAGTATCTATCCCTCAGATCTCAGAAGGAGTATATAATACAAAAATATAAATTCAACCTCTGTATGTTTTCTTCTATGTTTTATGCTGGGACTCACTGGAGATCTTTGTAAGTAATCAAAGCTGGCCCTTTATCTTTGATTTTGGCTTTTAGGGAACTCTGGGACTTCTTTGCCCAAATTAAAACTCATTTTGAGGTGTTTGGTTTTTCTTTTAGTTTTTGCAACTTCAAAATTGATGATAACTCAGTTCTAGTGTATTTTATCTTGGAACTTATTTAAAATAGGTTACTTTCTTGAAATAAATAATAATATAATGAATAGATCATTACATGGATGTGGGGGGGATTAAATACCTTTTTAAAATTGCTGTCAGTATTATCTTGAAAGTTCAGTGGTTAAAAGGGACTTCTGAAATGTGGTCATAGCTAGTAAGGTTAATTTCTAACTTCAAGCTCAGTTTGGCTTCTTATTTTAATTTTCACATGTATATCACATATGTGTGAGAAGTACTCACAAAAAATAATTTATGAAATAAATATAGTAGGGCATGAGGTTGTATGATTTGTGAGGTAGTGATGGAGCATGATGTGTAGTCAGCAAACATGGGTGTCCTGATCAAAGCTCTTCTGTGCTATCAAGCAAGACTCTCTGTGGATGCCTCTTGTAGAATGTGGTTAATAATACCAGCCGATCTCATAGGGCACTGTGCAGACTCAGCATTGAACTCAGAGGAGTGGCACCTAACTGGAGCTTTGTGTCATACTAATCAAACATCTTCCCCCACACAACGATTCTTCTGATTCTGCTAACTCTGGACAGAGTTTGCATTGTCTTTTGAGAGAAATGAATGTATCACTTAGTCAAAAAACTGTAAAAATACATAGGCTCTTTTCGATGCTTGCTTTCTCAGAGCCCTATGAGTTTGTCTCTCTGGAATGGCTGCAAAAGTGGTTGGATGAATCAACACCTACCAAACCCATTGATAATCACGCTTGCCTGTGTTCCCATGACAAACTTCACCCAGATAAAATATCGATTATGAAGAGGATATCTGAATATGCAGCTGACATTTTCTATACTAGATATGGAGGAGGTCCAAGACTAACTGGTAATTCAAGATGTCCTCTTTGTTTAAAAAAAACAGCAGCTCATTAAATCTTCATCTTATGGTTTTTTGAGTGTGGTATGATGATTTGATCCCAACTATTTAGATCAGATGTTCCTTACACTTTGCAAAAAGGATTTGCTAAATAAAGTAGAAGTTAAGCAACTGATGCTATATTCTTAGAGGGTTGAGGTTCTAAGGAAGGGGGAGTGAATGTAGTTGGGTGTTTTTTTGGTTTGTTTTTTGTTTTATTTTGTTAAACCCTCTGAAAGCAGACAAAATAGGACCCTTTGGAGAAAATAGTCTGGTGGTAGTTTGTTACTCTAGATAATACTGTTTAAGGTACTTGAGCCCTTGTCTGGTTAATTTCACGTTTGTACCTCCATGTTACATGATTTTTTTTTTTAATTTGAGACTGAGTCTTGCTCTGTCACCTAGGCTAGAGTGCAGTGTCGTGATCTCAGCTCACTGAAGTGTCTGCCTCCTGGGTTGTGATTTATGAGGTAGCAGTGTGATTCTTAATTAATCTCCCGGGTAGCTGAGAGTGGAGGCATGCACCACCATGCCTGGCTAGATTTTGTATTTTTAGTTGAGAGAGGGTTTCACTATGTTGGCCAGGCTGGCAGCCACTATACCTACTTCTCTTCTTAATTCACAATTGATAAACCATGCAATGGGAAGAGCTTTCACATTTTAGATGACTCCTAAAAATTCTATGTTTTAAACCAGGCCCTTCATTTTTCTTTTCCCATTAGTGTGCTTTGAAGATCACTTTCACCTGAAGATCATGATTTATAATTATATTTATGTTTACTCCCCCACTAGAACCTTAGTTAGTTATTTGATTATCGTCTCATAAAACTTGCATGTAAACCTTGTCAGATACTGTACTTAGGTACTTTTAGCATAATACAACTTTTTGTCTGTCATTGTTCTTTCTTTATTCAAATAACAATATTGCTATCTAATTGTCTTAGTAACAATTTAGGGTAGGCCAGGCCTGGTGGCTCACGCCTGTAATCCCAGCACTTTGGGAGGCCGAGGCGGGTGGATCACGAGGTGAAGAGATCGAGACCATCCTGGTCAACATGGTGAAACCCCATCTCTACTAAAAATACAAAAAAAAATTAGCTGGGCATGGTGGCGTGTGCCTGTAATCCCAGCTACTCAGGAGACTGAGGCAGGAGAATTGCCTGAACCCAGGAGGCGGAGGTTGCGGTGAGCCGAGATTGCGCCATTGCACTCCAGCCTGGGTAACGAGAGCGAAACTCCGTCTCAATAATAATAATAATAATAATTTAGGGTATACATCAATTTACTATATTGCCGAAATTTGTGACTTTGGTTTAGAATGTTTGTGTTTGTGAAGTGCTGAAAACATTTTCCTAACAGGAAATCTGTTTGAATGAAATATATTTCCTTTCATTCTTTCTTGCCTGTAGTGAAAGCCCTCTGTAAGGAATGTGTAGTAGAACGTTGTCGTGTATTACGTCTGAAGAACCAACTAAATGAAGATTATAAAACTGTTAATAATCTGCTAAAAGTAGCAGTAAAAGGGTATGTTGCACAGTGAACATTATGATAAACTAAGAGATTTTTAAGAGGTCATAACCAAGCAGCTCACTATTTGTTAAAAATAGGCCATTGGGATTTTTAGAAGGGTGATAAAGTGGATGGCAGGACCAGATCAAAAGTAAATTTTGCAATGACTGCCCTGTGACAATGATAAAGAAAGCTGGGTCACGTAGCCTTTGCCACTGTATTCCCTCCTGTCATTTGATTGGTCTGATTGGCATGAATGTAGGAAAAGCAGGATAATATTTAGAATGGAAACAAAATATTAGATCCCTGCAGTTCAATAGTGAACAATGAAAATGATGAAAAGTAGGAAGTAGGTTAAAAACAGTTACATGCACAGTAGCTGATTTTGAATGTTTGTAATTTACTTTTGTTGATGTTGTTCTTTTGAGACGGAATTTTGTTCTTGTTGCCCAGGCTAGAGTGCACTGGCATAATCGCAGCTCACCACAACCTCCACCTCCCTGATTCAAGCAGTTTTGCTGCCCCAGCCTCCTGAGTAGCTGGGGTTACAGGCATGCGCCACCATGCCCGGCTAATTTTTGTATTTTTAGAGTAGAGGCGGGGTTTCTCCATGTTGGTCATGCTGGTCTTGAACTCCCAGCCTCAAGTGATCCGCCCACCTCAGCCTCCCAAAATGCTGGGATTATAGGCCTGAGCCACTGCACCTGGCCAGTTGTTTTTACAGGGAAAGAAGGGAGGACCCCGTTTGGAAATGTTACTTGTAGGCTCAAATTCACTTCCCAGAATGGTCAGAAGCACTTCCCTAAGTTTCTTTTTCCCCGGAGGGATAGGCTAAGTGAAGCACATAACGTATCACTTCTCCCTTCCAAAATACAGCTGTAGGTTTCTTCATTTGCTCAGGATCCAGTGTCTCAATAAATATAAAGAAAAAGAAAAAAAAAAAGGAAATGTTACTTCTATGGTTTAACATTCTCTCTTCCACAGCAACGATGGATTTTGGGTGGGGAAGTCTTCTTTGCGGAGTTGGCGCCAGCTAGCTCTTGAACAGCTAGATGAGCAAGACGGTGATGCAGAACAAAGCAACGGAAAGATGAACGGCAGCACCTTAAATAAAGGTAACGCTTTAAACCTATGTGTAGATCATTGTGAAATTATGATGAAAGTGTAAGTTGCTCATTCCTGTAGTCCCAGTTATGTGGGAGGCTCAGGTGGGCAGATCACTTGAGCCCAGTAGTTTAAGGCCACAGTGAGTTAACGCTAGCCCTACTGCACTCCAGCCTGGGTAACCGAGTGAGACCCTGTTTCTCTCTTTTTTTTTTTTCTTTTTTCCAGCATCTTGCATTGAAGAGACCCTGTTTCTCTAAAAAACAATTTTAGGCCGGGTGCAGTGGCTCATGCCTGTAATCCCAGCACTTCAGGAGACCGAGGCAGGTCAATCACTTGAGGTCAGGAGTTCAGGACCAGTCTGAGCAACATGGTGAAACCTACTACAAATACAAAAATAATTAGCCAGGGGTGGTTACCTCAGGTGATCTACCTGCACACATGTGGTCCCAGCTACTCGGGAGACTGAGGCAAGAGAATTGCTTGAACCCAGGAGTTGTAGGTTTTCATGAGCCGAGATTGCGCAGAGTGAGATTCTGTCTCCAAAAAAAAAAATTTAGTAAAATTGGTTTAGTACCCATCCATGTAATTTTAAAGACAACTTTTATTAAGCTACAAGCTTTCAAAAATAGCGCAGAGCAAATAAAAGATTTTTAAGCTATTGAAATTCAGCAAGGACTCAGCAACTCACATGTAAAATTTTCCTTTATAACCTGTCATGCTTTGGGCTCAAGCTCTGTCTAGTTAATCACATGCAAAATGAATATTAATTCTGCTCTAGGCTGAGAGTTTAAAGAAAGGTTAAGTCTATTGCACATTGGCATAGTGTATTGAATGCTCAGTACATTCTGGTTTTGGATTATCTGCCACACTACCTTTGTCAAGTAAATGAGCTTGTACTTCTTTCATCAAGTAGAGAAGGCAGCTTTTGAATAGATTTTTGCTTGTAAATTATTCTGATGTTCCTATGGTTTCAAATCAGAAATTAAGTTATTGTAAATTAAACACTAAATTTAATTTTATAATCAGTGCTTTGTAAGATGTCAAGGAAATTTATTACTTTAATGTTACTGACCTTTATTGAAATATTCTGTATTTTCTGCATTTAAGAATTTCATATCATTTATATCATTTAATTTTTAATTTCATTCCATTTATTTATTTGAGATGGAGTAGATGGAGTTTAGCTCTTTTTGACCAGGGCAGAGTGCAGTGGTGCAATCTCTGCTTGCTGCAATCTCCACCTCCCAGGTTCAAGCAATTCTCCTGCCTCAGCCTCCTGAGTAACTGGAATTAGAGGCACACACCACCATGCCCAGCTAATTTTGTATTTTTGGTAGAGATGGGGTTTCACCATGTTGGCCAGGCCGGTCTTGAACTCCTGACCTCCAGTAATCCACCCACCTTGACCTCCCAAAGTGCTGGGATTATAGGTGAGAGCCACTATGCCCAGCCTTTTTTTTTTTTTGAGATGGAATCTCAGTCTGTTGCCCAAGCTGGAGTGGAGTGGTGTGATCTAGGCTCACTGCAACCTTCACCTCCCAGGTTCAAGCAATTCTCCTGCCTCAGCCTCCCAAGTAGCTGGGGATTATAGGTACAGATACCCGCCACCGTACCTGACTAATTTTTTTATCTTTTTAGTAGAGATGGAGTTTCACTGTGTTGACCAGGTTGGTCTTGAACTCCTGACCTCAAGTGATCCACCTGCCTTGGCCTCCCAAAGTGTTGAAATTACAGGCGTGAGCCACCCTACTATTTTTTTTAAATTCTAGAGATGAGGCCTCACTATGTTGCTCAGGCTGGTCTACAACTCCTGTGCTCAAGTGATCCTCCCACCTTGGCCTCCCAAAGTGCTGGGATTATAGGTGTGAGCCACTGCGCCTGGCTCATTTCTATCATTTTATATTTTATTTGGTATTGATCTTCCCATATCACTACCTTACTTCTTGAGGAAACCAACCCAGTATTAGTTTTAAACTCCTTGAGCTATGATTGTTAACATTTTCAAACTTGAAAAGTTTTTACTTTTTTTTGTTTGTTTGTTTCTTGAGATGGAGTCTTACTCTGTTGCCCAGGCTGGAGTGCAGTGGCCCGAAATTGGCTCACTGCAAGCTCTGCCCCCACGCCCCTACCACCCCAGTTCAAGTGATTTTCCTGCCTTAGCCTTCCAAGTAGCTGGGATTGCAGGCATGTGCCACTGCGCCTAGCTAATTTTTGTATTTTAGTAGAGACGGGGTTTCACTATGTTGACCAGGCTGGTCTTGAACTCCCAACCTCATGATCCACTTGCCTTGGCCTCCCAAAGTGTTGGGATTTCAGGTGTGAGCCACCATGCCCAGCTGAGTTTTTCCTTTTGATGGAAACATTTTATTGTGATATATAATTCATGAATTTAACATCAAAAAAACATTTGAAAAACTATACTATAATTTTATTGGTATCGTATGACTTTAGTGGTATTTATTTACTGCTTTTAAAGCCTCTTTATCTATCAGTGTCCCTTCATTTTTAGTAAAAGTGGATGCCATAATAGAAAGTGCCTTCATGTTGGCCTAGCTTAAAAATATTTTTCATGTTTCTTTCATAGTAATATGCCTCTGTTCTCCTTTCCCCATTAAAAAATTTCAAAAGCTTCAGGCAGCACAAATGTGACAGAGTAGGACTTCAAAGCCTTCCCACCAGATATAGTCACTGTAAATAGTGGCTTTTTATAATGGAGCTCATATGGGCACAGTTCTACATGTCTCCCTGTCAAAACATACAGCCTTTTTTTTTTAAAAAAAATGTTTTATTTACTGCATTTTATTTTGTGGATTCATTATGTTTGTCTGATTCTATTTTAATATGTTTACAATTAGTATATACACACAGATGTAACGAGGGTCCTTTTGTGTACTGTACTTAACATTATTACAGAATTTTCAGATTAATTTTGTGAAATAAATTTCTAGAAATTGCTGGATCAGAGAATTATAAATATTTATAATTGCCACGTACTGACCTATACTGGTAATTTTTTTTCAACTTATACATATTAGGGGGTTCATTTTTTTGCATGCTTTTGTCAACATAAAGAATACATCAGTCACATCTGGTTTTTTTTGCAATGAAGTTTTGCTCTTGTTGCCCAGGTTGGAGTGCAATGGCTTAACCTTTTTCGAAATATTATTGAGGTTGACCATCTTCTTAGGTTTGAGAAGTGATTTGTATGTGTGACAAAGAAAAAGAGAAGGCAGAATTATCCAGTCACGTTCTTTGCCCATTTCAAAATTTGACTTTCATGGGCATTTTTGTTGTTGGTGGTGGTGGTTTATTTGTTTTTGGTTTCTGTTTTTGTTTTGAGACAGGATCATCTCTCTCTGTCACCCCACCTGGACTGCAGTGGCACAATTGCAACTCCATGCAGCCTCTACCTAATAGGCTCAAGCAGTCCTCTCACCTCAGCCTCCTGAGTAGCTGAGATTCCAGGCATGTGCCACCATGACCAGATAATTTTTGTACTTTTTGTAGAGATTGGATTTCGCCATGTTGCTCAGGCTGTCCTCAAACTCCTGGGCTCAGGCAATATGCCTGCCTTGTCTTCTCAAAGTGCTGGGATTATAAGCGTGAGCCACTGTCCTTGGCCTCTGCTTCAGTTTTTAAATGACTAGCAAATATTCTTTGTATGCATTAATTGTAGTAAAAAAATGTGTGAAATATTTGACCTGGAAAACCCTTAATGATTTTAATCTCCTGATACTTAAGGTTTCTTCATTTGATCCTGTTCCCAGTATATATTGATAGTGACACAGTGTAGAAAAGTAGGAAAAGCAGATATTGGAACAGAAATGTTAACAGGAAAAGCAAAATGTAGCGGTCCCCTCATGCAAGGTCTTGCTTTTCGTGGTTTCAGTTAACCTGCAGTGAACTGCATTCTGAAAATATTACATGGAAACTTCCAGAAAACAATTCATAGGTTTTAAATTGCACACTGTTCTGAGTAGCATGATGATATTGTATCTCATACTGTCCTGCTTCATCCTGCCTGCGACATGAATTTTCCCTGTGTCCAGCTTTTCCATGCTATACATGCTACCCACTGGTCACCTGGCAGTCCTCTTGGTGATCAGATTGACTGTAGGAGTGCCTGTGTTCAAGTCACCCTTACTTTACTTAATAATGATCTCAAAGTGGAAGAGTGGTAATGTCGGCAATTCAGGTATGTCAGAAAGAAGCCACAAGGTGCTTTCTTTAAGTGGAAAGGTGGTTGTAAGTTCTTAAATAAGGAAAAAAAAAATTGTATGCCGAGGTTGCTAAGATCTACAGGAACAAATCTGTCTGTGAAATTGTTAAGAAGGAAAAAAATTCATGGTAGTTTTGTTGTCACACTTCAAGCTGCCGGTTATGGCCACAGTGTGATAACTGTTTAGTTAAGATGGGAAAGGCATTAAATTTGTGGGTGGAAGAGATGAACAGAAATGTGCCAATGGATGTTTATTGAGTTTGGTCGTATGTGAGGTTTCAGGTATCCATTGGGGTCTTGGAACATATGTCCCCCGATCAGCGGGGACGACTCTGTTTCATGTTAAAGGTTAAGTCCTTATTTAATTTGCCTTTAAAGCTTTGTGTTCACTCCCTAAAAGTGTGGGTAGGTGAAAATGCCATGCCATGCCATGACATGTAGATGATTAACTTGGTGTATGACACAGTATTCTCAATACCTTAACTAGAATTAATAGAATTCCATTTTTTGAATTTAAAAAGGCACATTTTCTTGCATAACCTTAATCTTTAAAAGTTAACTGTCATTGAGATGTTCCTGTTTCCTTTTAAGGGAAAGAAATGTAACACTTTTTAGCAGAACAGTGTAGGAATGACTTGGGTCTAATTTTCAGATTTTTAAAGTTTTCTTTGTTCCAAATTGTGCAGCGTAGTATATCTGCTGCTTTGAAGTTTAAGTACAATAACTGCAGCAGATATCATTTGTATTTCTTTTGATTAGATGAATCAAAGGAAGAAAGAAAAGAAGAAGAGGAGGAATTAAATTTTAATGAAGACATTCTGTGTCCACATGGTAAGCTAGAAGCATAAATGAGTTCTGTTTTATTATCCTTTTTCACTTTTAGCTTCTACTGCCTGGCTTTCATGCCAGCGTCTCTCACATCTTACCTGGAAAATAAGTTTTTTTAAAATAGAATTTCCCCATATTTAGAGGAAATCTTTGGAGAAGAAACTTCTGGTCACTTGTCCCATTGAAATACTTTTGAATTTGGCATATTGAATTTCAGTTGTTTCCCATGACTATCATTGTCCAAGTTAAATGCTTTGAAAATAGTGCTTGTATGTTTCTTCTTCGTGTTCTTAGAGCTATCTGTGGTTTTTTATTTATTTTATTATTATTTTTTTATTTGTGCAACAAGGTCTCGCTCTGTCACTGTCCCTAGTGCAGCCTCAACCTCCTGGGCTCAGCTGATCCTTCTGCCTTGGGCTCCTGAGTAGCTGGAACCATAGGCATGTGCTATCACACCTAGCTAATTTTTAAATTGCCTCCCATCTTTGTCTCCCAAAGTGGTGGGATTATAGGCATGAGCCACTGGGGCTCTGCCTGGTTTCGTTTCTTGTTTGTATATTGACCATCTGCTGAGTACTATGTGCTAGATAGTCTTAACAAATGCTAAATTCTAAATCCTTATTTAATCCCATGTATTCATGTGTTTTTTTTGCTTGTTCTTGGTGAATGCTTTTAATAAGTAGCTTTTACAAGATGATCGTGCAAGGGGTTCATATATTAGACACAGTTTTCTATTCCAATAGGATTCTGAAAGTCAAACAGATGTCTGTTTCTCAAAGCTTTCTATTTAATAAGTTCCCTTTCCCACCTTCAAAAAATCTGAGCACTGAGTGCCGTAGCTTGCACCTATAATCCCAGCTACTAGGGAGGCTTAGGTAGAAGTGTTGATTGAGCCCATGATTTTGGGACCAGTCTGGGCAACATAGCAAGACCCTGTCTCTAAAAAATATTAAGTGGGCTTGGTGGTATGTGCCTGCAGTCCAAATTTCTCAGGAGGTTCATGTGAGAGGATCACTTGAGCCACAAATTTGAGGCTAGAGTGGGCTATGATCACCCCACTGCACTTTGGCCTGGACAAGAGTGCAATATGCATCTCTTTAAAATAAAATAAATAAGACAATAAGTATGACACAGAAAAGTTGGCTTGTCAGTGGTTCATTTTGTTAACCCATGTCCATGCATTTCTTGTTATGTGCTAATTTACTGCTAATATTTAGGATTCCTGTTGATCCTAATAAATTTCTAATTTTAGTTCTTCTTTCATCAGTTCAGTATGAGCCAGTGGATGATGTCTCATTCTTATCCCTGATGTACACAAGCACCCCCCCCCCCCCGCCTTTTTTTTTTTGGAGCTAGAGTTTCACTCTTGTTGCCCAGGCTGAAGTGCAGTGGCATGATCTCATCTCATTGCAACCTCTGCCTCCTGGGTTCAAGTGATTCTCTTGCCTCAGTCTCCTGAGTAGCTGGGATTACAGGCATGCACCACCACAGCCAGCTAATTTTTTTTGTATTTTTTAGTAGAGACTGGGTTTCATCATGTTGATTAGGCTGGTCCTGAACTCCTGACCTTGTGATCTGCCTGCCTTGACCTCCCAAAGTGCTGGGATTACAGGTGTGAACCACCACCCCTAGCCCACAGTAGCACTTTTATATTAAGTGCCCTTGATGACACTAGTGATGATTGTCACTAGAGTGGTACTTGCATTCTGGATTATCTCACTGCACTGTAGCTTGCTAGTAAGTGGCATTCCCATTTATTTATAGGCCACACAACTAAGAAGGGGCCATAGTGGGGTGTACCTTTGGGTCTCAGTCTCTGGGAATCCCCAGTTTCTCTGTTCTTTCCATCATATCACCCTATCTGTCTACCGGTTGATCTTTTACACTACAGGTGCACAGCAGGAGAAGGTGAGCTGACTTCGTGAGTGCTGAATAGCATGAGGAAATGAACAGGGGAAGGACGTTTGGGTGAATAGCTATAAGGTGGTGTCATTTTTAGTGAGGCTCACATATCAACTTTTGTAACCTTCACAGCATAGATGTACACATAGGATCAGTGCCTCCACATTGACAGTTGAAGCATCTGTGGCAAAAATACTGTTTCATGCTTGGTGCTACCCACTGGTTGAAACAGTGCTGGAACTTAGATTGTCCTCATGCTCCTCAGCTCACTAACCTTTACTCTTCTTGCCCACCTCTTACCACATTGTTTCAGTACTGACAGTTTTGACTACAAAGCATGGCAAAGCTGAATGTCATTTCAGGACACATGCTATACTCTCCACCCTATCAGAAATTGTACATAACAGGCCGGTGCGGTGGTCACACCTTTAATCCCAGCACTTTGGGAAGCCAAAGTGGGAGGGTCACTTGAGTCCAGGAATTTGAGACTGGCCATCAAGGCAAGACCCCATCTCTACAAAAATATCAAGAAATTAGCCTGGGGCCTGGGGTGGTGATGCTGTGCACCTGTGGTCCCAGCTACATGAGAGACTGCATTGACAAGATTACCTGAGCTCAGGAGATTGAGGCTGCAGTGAGCCATCTTTGCATGCCACTGTGCTTCAGCCTGTGTGACAGAGCAAGACCTTGTCTCAAAATAAAATTTAAAAAAAAGGGAGAAAGAGTGAGAGAGAGAGAAAAGGAAGAGAGAGAGAAGCGAAGGAAGGAAGGAAAGGGAGGGAGGGAAGGAAGGAAATGGAGGAAGGGAAAGAGGGAGGGAGGGAAAGAGAGGGAGAAAGACAAAGGCAGAGAAAGAGAAAGAAGGAAAGAAGGAAATAAATTGTATAAGAGCGCTGTTATTTTTGTAGGCCGTTGTCTTAATCTGTAACTCTAGTGCTTTGATGCCATATTTTGCTCTCTAGTATTTTAAAGGATAGTTTTCTACCTTTGTTTTTGTGTTACATTATCTGTCAGGGTACCATGTGTCCAGGATGAAATTTTTTTGGTATAGGAAACCCTCCTTGCCTTACTTAGAAATTCACTTTACTTACTAAGTTTCTGTTAAAACCTCTTTCTGGTGGTGTGCTGATGATGTTGGTAGGAGGAGGATTATAGTGGACAATTACAGAATGTTTACCATTTGCCTTTAGTTCTCCACATTTATAAATATTAACTCACTTAACCTTTTTTTTTTTTTTGAGATGAGAGTCCCACTCTGTCGCCCCGCTGGAGTGCAGTGGTACAGTATCTCAGCTCACTCCAACCTCCACCTCCTGGGTTCAAGTGATTCTCCTGCCTTTAGCCTCCCACGTAGCTGGGACTACAGTCATGTGCCACCACTCCTAGTTAATTTTTGTGTTTTTAGTAGAGATGGTTGTGTTTTTAGTAGAGACAGTTTGGTAGAGATGTTGTCCAAACTGGTCTCGAACGCTTGACCTCAGATGATCTGCTTGCCTCAGCCTCCCAAAGTGCTGAGATTACAGGCATGAGCCATGGTGCCTGGCCAACTCACTTAATCTTGTGACAACCCTGTTTTATCAGTATATTATCACATCCATTATACTGATTAGTAAGTAAACTGAGGCATAGAAAGGTAAGAGTCACCTGTCTTGGATCACCACACTGAATGGATAGTTTTGCCTAGGTTTTTAATTGTCTGTTGGAAATATTTTTTCTGTGAACATTTGAGAGACCTGTAGTACTGCTCTGGGCGTACCATTCAAAAGTCCGAAGCCATTGATGTAGGTAATTTTTCTCCACTTCAGTTTCCGGTAGACTTGTAGGATCTTTGTCTCCGGTGTTGTACGGCTTCATTTATTATGCTAGGCACTCTGTGGAAGCCAAGTGTGTCTTGGAGGGGTCTTGGTGACAGCTTCACTAGTTTGCTGCCCTGGCCAGGCTGTTTCACTGGGAAATTCCAGTGGCAGTGTCTGCTGTTGGGCCACTAAGATTTTTCCATAAGCATCTTTCATTCGCCTGCCTGGAAAATTCACACCTGCTATCACTCTTCTGTAGATGTGGAGAGAAGAGGACTTAAGAGTTCCTGCATTCAGTAGTGGAAAGGTTTAATTATCCCTGTCTCAGCTTGTCACCTCATTTGTCTCTGTGTTTTCTGTCCCCTGTGCAGGGGCCTTAGGTTTTGTTGTTCAAGAATAAGCATGTAGTCTTTTGTGGCTAGAGGGGACAGTGATCTCAAGGGCAGAGAAGGGGGCTGAACATCTGACTACATACCTCTTAAATAGACTTTCTAACCCTTCTCTCATTTTTAATAAATCCCTACCTTTACTTCATGAGCCCCCAATTTTTGGGTCTGTGGGGACAGTTCTGCAGTGTCAATCTGGCTACTTCTTGACTTTTGCCAACTTAGAGTTAGTTTTTAAAAATTGTGTTGCATTCACTTTCTTTGAAACCCTTATAATTTTTATCCCTGTTGTTCCCTCTCTTTTCTTTATCATTATGGCTATATGTCTTTTTTTGTTGTTAATGACTCCTTTGATGTGGTGGATCACATCTGTAATCTCAGCACTTTAAGAGGTTGAGGCATTTGAGAGCAGCCTGGGCAACATAGTGAGACCCCATCTCTATTTAAAAAATAAAATAAAAATTAGTTAGGCAAAATGGAATGTGCCTGTATTCCCAGATGCTCAAGAAGCTGTGACAGGAGCATTGGTTGAGCCCAGGAGACTGATTACAGTGAGCTATGATCACACCACTGCACTCTAGCCTGGGTGACAGAGTGAATGATATCCTGTCTCTAAAAATGAAAAATTTTTTTTAAATTCTTTTTTTTTTTTGTTTTTTTTTGAGACGGAGTTTCGCTCTTGTTACCTAGGCCGGAGTGCAATGGCACGATCTTGGCTCACTGCAACCTCCGCCTCCTGGGTTCAGGCAATTCTCCTGCCGCAGTCTCCTGAGTAGCTGGGATTACAGGCACGCGCCACCGTGCCCAGCTAATTTTTTGTATTTTTAGTAGAGACAGGGTTTCACCATGTTGACGGAATGGTCTTGATCTCTTGACCTTGTGATCCACCCGCCTCGGCCTCCCAAAGTGCTGGGATTACAGGCGTGAGCCACTGCGCCCGGCCCTAAAAAATTCTTTATTGTTATTTAATGATGTTTAATGGGATGTGATTTAATGATGTTTCTAAAGTCTTGTATGTATTTGCTATATAGCAGATTTTGTGTGAATTAATTTTGGGGTTATATTCCATTGGAAGATTTACTATCATAGAGTTCAGTATTTGTTGCAGATACCAAGCTTTATAATATAGATAGTGTATGTATCAAGCTTCCTATCCATTTTACTTTGTATTCTTTTAAGTGATGCTTTTGTTACTTTGTAACGAAATACTTTGTATTTTACACTTATAAATACTTTATATTCCTTTAAGTGATACCTTGTATATCTTCTTTATTATACCTAGTTTGCTTAGACGACGGGCTGTGTTTTGTTTTGTTATTTTGAAAGTACTTCTTGAGATGCCCTGAGGCCCAAGTTCTTGTATACAGTTTGAACTAGATTTAGGGTCTGGGGTTGAGGGTCATTTATCAGATTCTGAATTCATTGTTAACTAGCTTTCTCTTTATACCAGAAGAATCTTTGGAATTAGTGAATTGAATCTCTCTTGACTGGTTTGATCCTGTTTTGGGAGGTATTGCTCATAGAATAGATTTAGTTGATTGGCTTCCTCTTAAAATTTAAGAAATAACATTATTCATTGCAGGATACAGTTTAATATCTAACAATTTGTATGTCACAGTGAAAAGAACAACCCAAATTTAATTAACTATTTTGAGGTCATAGACAATATTCAAGTGTATTTGTTTCATTATCATTAATTACATTAACATTAGCAAATAGTAATGATATATTAACTACTATGGCAACAATTTTTAGAATTATGGGAAATTAAATTTAGAAACTCAGCTAAGAAGTAAAATGGAGTGTATATTTATTACTAACTAGACTGTAGTAAAATGACTATTTAATATTAATTCTGATTTCAGAAATGAATTTGGGTTGTTCTTTCCTAATCATATGAGAAACACTTATCCCACATAAAAGCCAGTCACTACCTGAAAGTTCCTCCACATGAAAATGAACCGTGCAGCCACAATGTCTGGGTCTCCTCTGTTCATTGCCTAGTAAAGTATGCGTGTGCATTTGCATTACTGTTCCCTCAAAGCCACATGGGGTTACACCACACACAAACAATCTTTTTTTTTTTAAGCATAAAAAGGCAATCATTTAAATATTATAATTGCCATAGACTTCTTTCAAAATCAGGTCATGGAAATCTACCTTAATCTTTTTTATGGTTACATTGTATTTCACCATAAGGCCTTAATAAATTAAGGTTTGATAATCCAATTAACCTTTTTCTTTCATTTTTAAAAAATAAATTCCCTAGTTGTGTCTGAGGATGGCCATGTTAGAATAAGTTTTCATAGACTCATGGGAAATTTAAATTAACAGTCTACCCAGAAAGAAAATACATGTTTACATTGTGACCTCATTTCTCTGGTAACAAATTTATTAAAGCAAAATAATCCTTTGGGGATTATTCAAAGCTCCAGAAGACGTGAGGGGTAGAAGTTCAGTTGCATTTTGAAGTTTTACAAATTATTGGGACCATGGAACAGTGGGTCATGCTTATAATTCCGGCATTTTTGGAGGCTAAGGTAGGAGGATTACATAAAACCAGAAGTTCCAGAGACTCCCTCTCTACAAAATAAAAATAAAATATTAGCCGGGCATGGTGGCTGATACGAGCCTATTATCCCAGCTACTCAGGAGGCTAAGGCAGGAGGATTGCTTGAGCCCAGGAGGTTGAGGCTGGCATCATGCCACTGCATTCCAGCCTGGGCAACAGAATGAGACTCTATTTTCTAATAAACTGAAAAAAAAATTTTTTTTAATATCTTATGGGGTTTGAATGAGCTATAGACCTGGGTTTGTTGTTGTTGTTGTTTTTTCCTGAGATAGAGTCATGCTCTTGTCACCCAGGCTAGAGTACAATGGCAGGATCTTGGCTCACTGCAACCTCTACTTACAGGTTCAAGCAATTCTTCTGCCTCAGCCTCCTGAGTAGCTGGGATTACAGGCACCTTCCTCCATGCTGAGCTAATTTTTGTGTCTTTGGTAAAATGAGTTTCACCATGTTAGCCAGGCTTGTCTTGAACTCCTGACCTCGTGATCTGCTCGCCTCAGCCTCCCAAAGTGCTGGGGTTACAGGCATGAGCCACCGCATCCAGCCTCAGACCTGTTTTGTTTTTGTTTTTGTTTTTTGAGATGAAGTCTGTCTCTGTGGCCCCCGGGCTGGAGTGCAGTGACGATTATCTTGGCTCACTGCAACCTCTGCATCCCAGGCTGAAGCGATCCTCCTGCTGCAGCATCCCTAGTAGCTGGGACTACAGGCAAGCACTACCATACCTGACTAATTTTAGTATTTTTAGTAGAGACAGGGTTTCATCATGTTGGCCAGGCTGGTCTCAAAGTCCTAACAAGTGATCCACCTTGGCCTCCCAAAGTGCTGGGATTATAGGAGCAAGCCACTGTGCCTGGCCTACAGACCTGGTTTTGTATCCCACCTTTATTACTTACTAGTTGTACTCTCCCTGTTTATATTCATTTTCCTAAATTCATTTATTATGTAAAGTGTAGTACATATTTAGAAAGCCCCCTGGCTTATTACTGTTAATAAATCTGTAGGTACTTTGCTAATGGGCACAGAAACAAACATATAACTTGAGAAATTTAAATTACCCAGAAATTTTCTGGATAATGACTGATATGGGTAGATAAGTGAAATTCACTATTTATCACTTAGAAACAGCTGTAACAATAGTAAATATAACCACAAGTGGCACCAGAGGAGAAAGGCCCTGGAAGAATGGCAGTGACTAGTATGATTTTTATTGTCTTCTGGGATTTTTGAAGATTGAAGGGGATCTTCAAAACAACTTGCAAATAGCAAACAAGTTGGTGCTTGACTGGAGATGGTTTTCAGATTGAACATTAAATTGCTTTATCTTAGATTTGAATTGATAACGATGGTCCTGTGATGGCTGGGCGCAGCTTTAAAATATTTTAATGCACTATGATTTCAAGATTAGTCAAATGGGAGACAATAAAGTCTGTAGGAAATGATAACCTTTGAGTGTGGGATAGGTATAATTTCGTTAAGCAGCTCTTGCCTTGACACAGAGGTCTGAGGACTCCTGAAATCCCATTTTTGGCTATTTCCTCCCTTACAGGGAGAAAGATAGAAAATGCACGGTTTTAGCTTTGTACATTTCTTTTTATCTCGTGATTTTTTTGACCACAGACCTAGATTCAGGACATAAAATTGAGGTTAATAGCTACCTCCTTTAGAATTAAAATGAAATTGGAAATTCACAAATTTTTGAAAACAGCGAGAAATACAACACTTTTAGCAAAGCAAGATATGAACACCTATGGATTTTCATTAAGAAATAGGAAATAGATAATGACTTTTTTCCACCTTTTTTCTTAAATATATGTCTATTTTAAATTCAGGTGAGTTATGCATATCCGAAAATGAAAGAAGGCTTGTTTCTAAAGAGGCTTGGAGCAAACTGCAGCAGTACTTTCCAAAGGCTCCCGAGTTTCCAAGTTACAAAGAGTGCTGTTCACAGTGCAAGGTACTGAACGCTACTGACATCTGGGAAAATGGCTTGACAGCTCCCTGGGTTGACTTCCCAGGGGAATTCAACTTCTGCTGGGGGTGTAGGGAGGAGGCAAGTCATGTGCTGTCATCAGGAGACAGATGATTGCTTCATTCTCTTTCAGATTTTAGAAAGAGAAGGGGAAGAAAATGAAGCCTTACATAAGATGATTGCAAACGAGCAAAAGACTTCTCTCCCAAATTTGTTCCAGGATAAAAACAGACCGTGTCTCAGTAACTGGCCAGAGGTATAATGATTCCCACAAAGGAAAGAATGCATCCTTTCTTTTTAAGGCCCTTGCCAAGTTCCCAGTGAGCTATTTCAGAACAACTCAGAACTTCTCATATTCTCATTTGTTTGGCTATCTAACCAGGGGATTTACTCCAGCCTGCTATTTTTTGGTAGAAGATTGTGCTTTCATTTTATTTATAAAACTTGAATAAGGATAACCAAAGTATATTATAAAGAATTTGTGTTAAGAAGGCGGTGAATTGATGGATACTGTTTTGTGATTTTTGTGTTCTAGGATACGGATGTCCTCTATATCGTGTCTCAGTTCTTTGTAGAAGAGTGGCGGAAATTCGTTAGGTAGAAACAAAACATGTTTTATATCCTTTATTGTTGTTACTGTTTGGTTGGCTCTGCTCTTCTTTAAGATTTCGTGGATTCTGTTTGTGGTACCCTTTATAGTTACTTTCACCAGCACACACTGAAAGCTTTCTTTTCTATTAAGTTAAATGAATAATCCTAAGAAACACATGTAATTACTAATATTTTCTTAAATATATATCTCTGATTTTGAAATAATTATTTAAAATCTTCTCTTTCATCATGCAATAATTAGGTATATTTCTCCTCCTTGTTTCGTTTGAGTAGAAAGCCTGCAAGATGCAGCCCTGTGTCATCTGTTGGGAACAGCGCTCTTTTGTGTCCCCATGGGGGCCTCATGTTTACATTTGCTTCCATGACCAAAGAAGATTCTAAACTGTGAGTTCCTTCTCTTCATGTGATTTTTTTTTTTTTCTTTCTAAACTTTTTGATGATTAATAAAGTATGTTTAGGAAATTTCTCATCTGACATAGTCTATTTTAAGAATTTAGTCCTTTGCTGAATTGTGGCTTTTTTTTTTCCCTTTTAAAAGAAAAAGACTACTTCTCCAGGAAAGACAAGTGACTGCCTGAGGCCATTTGTCTTTTTGCTCATTCCTTGTCCTTCTTGGAGACAACACAGCCACCCTTTCTTCCCCCACCACCCCCCCGATGGTAACCAGCACTGTGACCTCTTTTCCAGAATCATAGAATCAACATGGTCTTGGTTGTAGGTTTTTTCCTGCAGCCCAGGCGTCAGGCAATTAAAGGAGGAGGATAGCAGGGTGGCAGAGCAAAGCCACTGCACTGGTCATCTGGAATCCTAGGGTCTTAGAACCAAAATTTTATTCCATGCTTAAGTACTTTTAGAGGTGTTTGTTCGTCTATGAATTTCTCCCTTGATGTTGCCAAAAACAATTATGTAAGAGAATGTAGAATGCCTCCAACATTGTCAGAAAATCAGGAAAAGGAAATTGAAAGACATAAATAAAAATGCCCTTGGGGTTCAGCTAGAGTTTTATTATTCATATTTTAGTACTTTAACATCATTTAAGGGAGTTCAGAGTTGATCTGTTCTTCCACGTTTTCTCCCTGCCTCTTTCTCTCCCTCTCTGCTTCCCTCCTTTCCTGTTGCTCTCTCACTCTCTGTCTTTCTTCTCTTCCCTCCCTCCCTTTCTTCCTGTCATTGTTATTGTTGCAGATGTCAGACTTTCAGGAAAATATCTATACCAATAAACAAATGTATGTTACCAGTTTAAAAGTTAAATGGTTCAGATATGATCAAAGACCCCCTCGCTGCTTATCCTTCTGTGGCTGCTTCTTTCTCTTTCTTCCTCTCTTCCTCTCGCAATAACCACTGTCCTGAATTTAAAATTTATCTGTCTCGGAAAGTATTCCTTTAAAAAAAAAAAAACATACAATGTCTTGCATATTTAAAACTTTTTATATAAATGGCATCATACTGTATTTATGCTTCTGCAGCTAACTTATTTTACTCAAATATGTTTTTGAGATCTAACCATGTTGATTCATGTAATTCCAGTTCATTTAGTTTTGCTGCAGTGGTAACATTCCTTTGTATGAAAAACTATTCTTTCTTCATGATATATATCTTTTCCCTCTAATTCCTTTGATTAAATATTAGTGTTGATGGTTATGGTTTAGCAGAGTAATAGATTATGTTAATTCTCTTAATTTCCATGTGTCTTAAGGCATGTTGTGTTTTTTTGCACAGTATAGCTCTCATATGGCCCAGTGAGTGGCAAATGATACAAAAGCTCTTTGTTGTGGATCATGTAATTAAAATCACAAGAATTGAAATGGGAGATGTAAATCCTTCAGAAACACAGTATATTTCTGAGCCTAGTAAGTTTTCATATTGCTTTTGGTTTCTATAGTTAAGAGCTGCCATTTTAAGGAAAAAGGGTATGTCAGTGTTGTCTGCTTTAAAGTTAAAGATCATGTGGTGGTCCAAACTCCCTAGGTGGAAACTCTATTATGATCATCTCATTATTTGTATGTTTATTTATGAACAGTAAATTGATTTCCTTATCATTTGAATCTAATAGAGTATAACAATTAATTGAAAATATTATTAATAATTTGGGCCACCACACTAGCTCATACCTATAATCCTAATACTTTGAGAGACTGAGGTGGAAGGATTGCTTAAGGCCAGGAGTTTGAGACCAGCCTGAGCAAGAGCCCATCTCTACAAAATAATAAAAATGTAGCACACATCTGTAGTCTGAGCTACTTGCTGGGAGGCTGAGTCAGTAGGACAGCTTGAGCCCAGACGTTTGAGGCTACAGTGAGCTATGATTACACCACTGCACCCCAGCCTGGGTGACACACCAAGACCTTGTCTCAAAAGAAGAAAATGTTATTAAGAGTTTAATGAATGTACACTAGTAACTTTGATACATGTTTTTTTTTATTGGCCACAAGATGAGAAGATATATGTTCTTAGATCTTTGATTCTTTAACAATGGTTCCTCAGCCACTTCTGTTTTCCCTTTTTGTTTTTTCCAAAGAACTCTGTCCAGAATGCAGAGAAGGTTTACTGTGCCAGCAGCAGAGGGACCTGCGTGAGTACACTCAAGCCACCATCTACGTCCATAAAGTTGTGGATAATAAAAAGGTACTGGTCCCTCTTGTGGTGATGACTAGTAATGATCAACCATGCTCTGACTTGATTTGCTCTTGTATTTGCACTAAGGGTCTGCCTAGGACTGCATTTTTCTTCCCTCAGAATGGTTTGGCATCAGAATTGAAATTGGACAACAATTGAAAATGAAGTTACATGATCATATGAGAATTTAGTCTGTGATTAATTGATACATAGATATTTATTGAATGTCAGCTGTGTGCCAGGAATGGTCCCAGTGCTGGGGGTAACAATGATAAAGAAGGTAGGTATAATACCTGCTCTCAAAATTATAGGTACCTAGTGAGGAAGATCAGGAATAAACTATAAATTCATATGATTTCACACAGAAATGATTGTTTTGAAGGAAGTTTAGCAGGGTAAAGTGGAAGTTAGTGTTAGATAGGGAGTTAGGAGAGGAGTCTTGGAGAAGTAGTTGTTTTTACCTAAGCCCTAACTGTCAGGGATGCAGCCTGGGAAGTGTATTCCAGGCAAAGAATGCAAAGGTCAAAAGGATAAGCCTATTGTGCTTATGCAGCAGACTGAAAACCATTGCACCTGGAACAGTGTTGTCCAATAGAGCTTTCCGTGGCAATCAACAGATTCTAGGTTCTGTATCTGTGCTGCACACTGCAGTAGTCACTGGCCATGTGTGGCTGTGGAGGATTTGACGTAGCTAGTGTGACTGAAGAATTCAGTTTTAGTTGATTTGACGTTAAATAGCTATATGTGGCTAATGGTTACCCTAGTGTGGCTATTGCTGGTCTGGAATAAAGTTTATACCAAGAAGGTATCATGATATGGAATGAGCGACCCAGACTCTATTAGGTTTTATACATCATACCAAGGATTTGGTTTTATTCCCAGTGTAGCTATGAGCCCCCAGAGAGTTTCAAGCAAGGCCATGATATGATCTGTTGTATAGTTTAAAAGAAGTCACCGTGGCGATAGTGTTGGAATTGCTGTGAGGGCATAACGGGAATAAGAGAGGCCAGTTAAAGCCTCTTGCACCGACCTGCAAGGATAGGTGAAATCGACTGGATGTGTTTGGGAAGTAGAGGTGTTAATACTTGCTTGGATTGGATTTCCAAGCATTTTTATTATATTAGGGATGACTCTTGGGTAGATCCTGACCCAGATCTCTAGATAGTTTAATAATTTAATTCCATGGTTTTGGGATTAAAGACAAAATGGAATACATTTAATTTGATGTTGGTTTTCAAGCACATTGTTTAGAAGAGTAACTTACAAATTATGCTCTGGAGGCCAAGGGTTCTGCTTTACAAGTTAAATGAACTAAGGCCTTCATTTCCTAATTTGCTAAGAAAATGAAGTTAATGAGTATAAATGTCTGTTTCTCCCTGTAGGATTTTCTTAAATCTTTTGTTCTCTAGTATAAAACTCTATCCAGTTTAGCTATAGTTTCATTGTTCAGTTTAATAGCAGTATTTCATAGTATTCTACAAGGGAGCACTTCTGTCTTTCATTTTCTCAGTTCTTAAAGAGCATATGACTCCTGCCACCTGAATAGTTTGAGAACTTGAAAAGGCTTGGCAATCAGTATGCTCGGGAAGGTGTAAGGCACCTTCGAACTTCTGCGAAGTAACATCATTGTACAAGATTAATAATAGTAACTGCTCTGCAGAGACCTCTTAAATGTATGGTGAGCACTTTAAATACTATAAGAATAAGAAATAGGGTAAAAAACTAAGATGTTAAAAGAGCAAAGAAAACCAAGAAGGCTTATTCTTCATTCACTCTCCAGTCTATAATCTTACCATGTTGAAAGTGTTCCTCCCCTTGATAAGGGTTGCCTGTCCCAGCCCCCACATCCTCCATAGCATGCCTTCCTCTGGTCTGACCTCCTTCTCTTTGTTGTCCTGGCACATTCAGGTGATGAAGGATTCGGCTCCAGAGCTGAACGTGAGTAGTTCTGAAACAGAGGAGGACAAGGAAGAAGCTAAACCAGATGGAGAAAAAGATCCAGACTTCAATCAAGTACGAGTTGAAGCTGCTTTTCATTGTTTTACTTTGTGCTGTTCTCATGGAGCAGCTACTGAAGCCCCTGGGCATTTCTTTGTACCCTATATGGGATATTCATGCTTAGCTTCCATCCTTGTCTTTCCTTTCTCTTTCCTTAGTTTTGGTGGCATGCTACAGCTGTCCTGATTTCTCATGAAAAGCCATGGACCACATGATTCCAGAATGAATGTAGTTCTTGCTATTAAGTTTAAAAAGGCTAAAATACAATGTAATGATTAAATTTTTAGCTGAGAAAGAAGACTAAAACAAGATACGTATCAAGGCTGGGTGTGGTGGCTCATGCCTGTAATCCCAGCAGTTTGGGAGGCTGAGGTGGGTGGATTGCCTGAGGTCAGGAGTTCGAGACCAGGCTGGCCAACATGGTAAAACCCCGTCTCTACTAAAAACACACAAAAATTAGCCAGGTGTGGTGGCACATGCCTATAATCTTAGCTGCTTGGGAGGCTGAGGCAGGAGAATTGCTTGAACCCGGGGGGCAGAGGTTGTGCCATTGCACTCCAGCCTGGGCAACAAAGCAAGACTGTGTCTCAAAACCAACAAACAAGACACATATCTTGGTTTGTTACTCAATCAGAATCTTGATGAAGAACTTATTTAACTCAGGTATTCTCATTACAAACAATAACCTTAATAATGGAATATGTTAAGTCTCTAATTAAGATGTTAATCAAGTGATCAGATCAGCTGATGCATTAGTCTTTCATTTTTCATTGTAGCACACTTTAGATTCTTCTAAGATGAACTGTTTTCTGGCCTGGATGTGGTGGCTCACACTTGAAATTGCAGCCCTTCTGGAGGCCAGGGCCGGAAGATCACTTGAGGCCAGGAGTTTGAGGCCAGTCTGGGCAATATAGCAAGATCCCATCTCTACAGGAAATAAAAAACTAGCTGAGCATGGTGGCATGTGCCTGTAGTCCCAGCTACTCCAGAGGCTGAGGCAGGAGGATCGCTTCGGCCCAGGAGTTCCAGGCTGCAGTGAGCTATGATTGTGCCACTGTACTCCAACCTGGGCAACAGAGTGAGAGACCCTGTCTCAGATAAAATAAATTAAAAAAAAAAATGTTTGGACTGTTTTCTGTTAGGATTTTCTTATTTGGTTGGCTTGAATATATTCTGCGTATTCATGGTGAAAAGTTAAAAGATCGTCTTTTTATTTATTTTTTTTATTTTAAACAGTCTCGCCCTGTTGCCCAGGCTGGAATGCAGTGGTGTGATCTTGGCTCACTGCAACCTCTGCCTCCTGGGTTCAAGTGATTCTCCTGCCTCAGCCTCCAAGTAGCTGACATCACAGGTGCATGTCACCACTCCCGACTAAGTTGTTAGTTATATCTTTAATAGAGACAGGGTTTCACCATGTTGGCCAGGCTGGTCTCAAACTCCTGACCTTGTGATCCGTCTGTCTCAGCCTCCCAAAGTACTGGGATTACAGATGTTAGCCACCATCTCAAAAATTGTCTTTTGAGAACAGGAAAGCATATGGGAATACAGTTAATGTAGGTGGAGATAAGTTTCAGCTTCTCAAAACGTCAGACCCCCACGTTGGAGGATATTTTGTACTTTAAACTCATGGATTTTCTACTCTAGTTAAAGTTTTATTTTTAACAGATGAGATGTTTGTTTTCTGTCTTTACTACTAAAATACTGTAGTGAAATTATGGATAGTGTTCTCCCTGAAAGAATAAAAGTGTTATAATAGCCATCTGCTGCATCTGTGACAGAGCAGCGATATCTGGGCTTGTTGGCCTATCTGCTCACTGATACTGTGACTTCATTTTTAACATGGATTAAGAGTCTTCAGACTCTTGATTTGAGTCTTGGTGTCCCAACTGGTGTAAAGGGATATCAGCGTTTGTTTTTCATGGCTTATTGGAGCTCATAAAATAACCTCAAAACACCTGTGAAGAAGCAAAATCATGCAGTTAGTGACAATGCTCAGCCACTCTTGTTCTTCCCAATCTGTATTTCAGTCAGTCAACACCAGAGGGACCTTTGCTTCAGTGCTAACCAAATCTGTACACTTTATGAGAATGCAGGTTTTCAATTAAAGGGGGTATTTTTCTATAATAAGTGATACCCTTGTTAAACTTGGTGTGCATATTATATGTCTTGTGTTCCTTGGCGTAAGGAACAGGAAAACGAAGGGCAGCAAAATCACATCTGCAAACTCTTGTCAAGATGTGTTAGTCAACTTAGTACTAATATGTCTTGACAAGAATTTGCACACGTGACTTTGCTGCTCTTCTTTACCCTGTTGTCAACTCTGTTTTCGTGTCCCCATCTCTGTGGTCTATAGAAGCCATCTTTCAAGCAACATTTGTACAAACGAGATTGTTTGCTTTTTAGTCAATAATATTAAAAGTGTGTGTGTGGCCAGGCACAGTGGCTCACTCCTGTAATAACAGCAGTTTGGGAGGCGAATGTGGGCAGATCACTTGAGGTCAGGTGTTCAACACCAACCTGGCCAATATAGTGAAACCTGTCTCTGCTAAAAATACAAAAAATTGGGGAGGGCCAGTGGGAGGGGGAGGTGGGGAGGGATAGCCTGGGGAGAAATGCCAAATGTGGGTGAAGGGGAGAAGGAAAGAAAAGCACACTGCCATGTGTGTTCCTACGCAACTGTCTTGCATGCTTTGCTCATGTACCCCAAAACCTAAAATCCAATAAAAAATTAAAAAAAAAAAAAAATACAAAAAATTAGCCAAGCATGGTGGTGCAGGCTGGTAATCCTAGGTACTCAGGAGGCTCAGGCAGGAGAATTGCTTGAACCCAGGAGGCAGAGGTTGAAGTGGGCCAAGATTATGCCACTGCACTCCAGCCTGGGCAACAGAGTGAGACTCCATCTTAAAAAAAAAAAAAAGTGAGTGTGTATGTGTGTGAGTGTGTGCGTGCGCGTGCAAGCACATGCATGTGGGTGTATGGGTGTACACATCCATCCTGATTCAGGACTCCATTCTCTTTTGTCTGTTTGGCTGGCAGGACCATATGTGTTAGTTATTATCATTAGTACTGTGGATTAATAATCAGTTGGGAATCAAATCATTTATTGCCTGTTGTCACTAATTCTCTGTTCTCTGGTTAACTTTGTAAATTAGTTTGTTAACTTGACATGATGTTCTTACTGTCTTTAGTTTCTGTTATTTCAAGTTTTGGTTTTTACCCTAAGAGTTGTTTAGAAAAACCATCTACATTTTCAAGTGACTTAGATTTTAGAAAGCGAACTTATTTTGAATGTCTACTTTTATTCATTGTGGTCATGACCACAGCAATTTTTTCAAAGTGGATGTGGAATCACTCTGCTCAGTTGTGGATGACAACAGATTTCACATTTATAAATACGATAGAGAATGTTGGGGAACGTTGCTTTTTATACTGTAATTATTTTTTATACTTTATAGTTTTCTTCTGTCTTCCTTCTCCTTGTTTGGATGTTGTAATACTCTAGAATGTTTCACATTTTGTTCTCACTAAAAATTTTTGGCTCACAGAAAAATCTCAAGTGTAACCTTCCTCTTTGGAAAAGAATAGTCCCTGAAAAACGTTCAGCATTTTCAAAATGTCATCCTCCTCATCACATAGATATCTCAGTACATAGGTAGCTTCTGTAATTGCTACTTTAAATCCCTGTAATAAAAAACGATGCATTTCTGCTGGTCCATAGTGGAGATAAACAGATCCCCTTTCCTCTTTTCTCTAAGCTAGATCAACCCAGTTCCTTGACTTCATCTAAAAATTTAGGTCAATAATATACTCAGTATTGGGTATCACTTAGATAATTGAAAGCCTTCTAAAACCAGTGGGCTGGTTTTTTTGTCAGTTAAGTTGGATTTAAATTCTCCAGATTAAGAAAGAAATAATTCCAGGAAAAGCCTTTAGACCCATTTAAAATCAGAGTTATTAAAAAAATCTATCTTGTTTGATGCTCAGGGCTTTATTTTTTGATTGTGTTTTGTACTTCTAAAATAAAATTATATGTTGATGTAGATATTTTACCTTATATTCCTGATGGTAGAATTTTGGTTCAATTTGACCTTTTCTTTCGGCAGTTGAGATTGAGAAAAATGTTTCATCAACTTTCGTTTTATTTTTTTAACGCACACGTGCACTTAACTTTTTCTTGTGAATCTTAGAATCACGCAGTTGCCTCTGTAGATTCAGGGCTAGAGCTTAACTAGCCTTGGGCAGTGTCTCACCAGTGGTCAGCACCCTGAACAAATGCTCTTTTGTGTTTGGGTCCTGATTACCTTCTGCTTTGTAAACTGTGGAGCCCGTGAGTAATGAATATGTGGCATCTGTGTCTGTAATGACTGCTAAACCACTCTGCTTATGCACAGCTGACACTCAGTGACAACTGTGGAAACCAGAGCCAGGGCCTTGAGGTTACCTCATCCAGATTTTAATTAAACCAGAGGAAAAGATTCCCTTAAAATTACTGCTGCTTTTATTCCCTAGCCTGGTTAGCAGAAGAATCTCCCCCACACCTCCCACCAAACCCCCCTGGCCACCACCACCACATTTGGTTAAAAAAAAAAAGCAGACTCTCAACTATTAACCTCTTGATGAGGGATTTATAGGAGTACTGTAAAAGGACATTTGGTCGTCATCTGTGTTTTTTTTTTGTTTTTTTGACTAGTACCGCATGTATCATGCACACCTGTGTGCATCCTTTTTACAGCACTGTTAGGTAGTCATGGCCATCATGACATTTCCCCTCTAAAAATAAAGACAGTGTCCTATGTAATACTAATAATGTGCTCATAAATAAGAAAACTAATGAAAACTCCCTCCTGTCTTATAATACCCATCCTCAGATATGTCTTGAACGTTTTTTCCCCCTCAGACCAGTATATAATCAGGATATGTGTTGTTTGTATCACTTTAGACTTAGGATTTGCAACAGTTACTCTGCCTCTCCACCCCCTTTCTTTCTCTCTTTTTTTTTTTTTTTTTTAAGACAGAGTTTTGCTCCTGTTGCCCAGGCTCAAGTGTAATGGCACAATCTCAACTCACTGCAACCTCTGCCTCCTGGGTTCAAGCAATTCTCCTGCCTCTGCCTCCCAAGTAGCTGAGGTTATAGGCATTTGCCACCATACCCAGCTAATTTTGTATTTTTAATAGAGATGAAGTTTCTCCATGTTGGTCAGTCTGGTCTCAAACTCCTGACCTCAGGTGATCTGCCCACCTTGACCCCCCAAAGTGCTGGGATTACAGGCGTGAGCCACCGCACCCAGCTCTTTCCCTTCTTGACGTTGAACTTGGACCAATTTAATTTCTTTTAGATTGTCCCATGTTCTGTATTTGGCTGATTGCTTCCTTATGTTACTTATTTTATTTATATATCCCCTATATTTCAATTTCTGTAAATTGAAAGGTGTGTGTAAATGTTTGATTACCCCCAGGTTTAACATTTTTGCAAGAATATTTTATGAGTGAAACTGTATATTTTGCCATTAGGACAAGTGATACAGTCTTGTTTTTAGTTAAGTTTAATTTTTTAAATTAAGGTTCTATATTTTTTAATTTGTAGCAGTTTATACTTAGTTTCCATGTCATTCTCAAAAGGAGAAGAATATATTTACAGTTCAGGTTGTTTATGAACTAAATTTTGTAATCCTGAAGTTTTTTAGTTTATTACGTTTTTCTGATTTAAGGTCAGATTTAACCATTTTGATTTTAAATGTCATCTCTCTCCTTTTTCTTTTTTATAAAAGAGATAGAGTCTCACTCTGTCACTAGAGTGGAATACAGTGGTGTGATTGTAGCTCACTGTAGTCTGGAACTATTGGGCTCAAGTGATCTTCCTGCCTCAGCCTCCAAGTAGCTGCGACTACAGGCTTATGCCACCACGCCTGGCTAATTCTTGGTCAGGATGGGTCTTAATATGTTGCCTAGGCTGGTCTTGAACTCTTGGGATTATAGGTCTGCGCCCCCTTGTCAAAGCTTAAATCTCTCTTGTAACAAACATTTAAACTGCTTACATGCAATTAGAGGTGTTTATTACTCATTCTTTTATCAATTATATGTGAGCCTGCTAAGAAAGTCTCACTAGTGTCTACTTATTGTTCACATTGAATTTCAAATGTTTAAGGGACTAATAAGTAAACAGCTTTTGTTTGCCTAAAAAACTTAATGAGCAAGGATCACACTGGTTAATTTCAGTGCTTTCTTCATTTTCAATCTTCATTATAGAGCAATGGTGGAACAAAGCGGCAAAAGATATCCCATCAAAATTACATAGCCTATCAAAAGCAAGTTATTCGCCGAAGTATGCGACATAGAAAAGTTCGTGGTGAGAAGGCACTTCTCGTTTCTGCTAACCAGACATTAAAAGAATTGAAAATTCAGGTGAGGAAAACATTTGTTCAAGTTTGCTCTGGACTTGAGGGCCTTCATGAATTCCTGCTTTCCACCTATATTTATATATGTGTGTATGTGTGTTTTTCCAAAAGACTTAAAGTTTTCAAAATAGCCAAAAATCGTTTTATGAAGATGAAAGTGAAATTTGATTCTGGAAATGTGGGCTGGTTCTGCTTGGCTTTCCAATAATGAGAAACATTAGGAACCATTTAATTTGTCACACGTTGAGGTTGTGCCAGGATAGCTATTCTCTCACTTTATTGTGCTGTATGCTTTTCTTTGACCACTTAATAGGTATTGGAGCCTATTACCAGGAACTGCTGTGAAATTTAATGGGAGATAAAAGGCAGTTTATTATTAGCGATTAGTGATTGCTTATTCACTAGGCTGTCACAGTGTTTTTGGTGGCAGACAAGTCTATTTGATAGAGTTTTAAAGTTATCTTTACCTTTCTTTGTGCAGTGATGTTTTCAAAATTGTTACAAAGATTCATTTTAGATGATGCCCTGTCCATCCCCACTCCCGCCCCCAAAGCATGCATTAGCTTTACAGATCAGTTAGGTGGCTGTAATGCAGGCATTGTGAAATGATTTCATTATATAGTTATTTCTTGGTATCAATACTGAAGTACTATAAATGAGCATTCCAGTGGTAAATCTCAAATCTTAGGCAGAAGGAACTGATAAATTCAAGATGTCCATGAAAAAATCTGGCCCCTAATCTGTTTCAGTCACTGATAGATATCCAAAAAGTTGACCAGATTTCCTTCTTGGCTACTTTTATGTGGCATAGTTTACTAGTTACACATTTTTCTTGTTGCTGATATTTATCATTGTAATTGAGGCAAAAGTACAGGCTTCCTTTGAGGGTGTTATGTGTTCCAGATTGTCCTGACAACAGTATTTCCCTTGGTTGAACCCATGGCTCTGAAAATAAGCATGTTGGCATAATATCTTTACTCTGTTACTGTACCTTTTACATCTAAGAAACCCAGTTTCTATCACCAGCTTTCTGCCTGTCATTGGGAAACCTCGAACATTAAAAACCTTTAAATTACAAAAAGAACCCCTGTGTATAAAGACACATTTTTTAAAGTCTGTGCTGCTTTTATTATGGACTTCCATTTTAAAGAATAAACCAAAAGTCAGCAGAAATAACCCTTCTATATGAGAGCATGTTACGTGCATGAATGAGCTGCTAGAAGACAGCAGATGTTCACACAGCCCCCAGATGTGCTCTTCCTAAATGGCTCTCTCATCTCCCACTCTTGCTTCAGGAACCACTGCAGACCAGAGTGAAAGAAGGGGCAGTGAAATATCACTTCCCCTTGCTACATAGTGATGGTTGCTTGTAAAGCTTCAACTAGATATGAGTCTATTTGCCTGGTGGCCTGGATAGCATTGGAGTTTGTGGTGGGCATGTATGTACATGATCCTCAGTGAGGTGGTGGGTGATTTTCTTAAGGCGTGTAATTCATGTTTTAGTGTTTGATGGAGCCTTTCCTCTAGGGATACTGCATTTCTAAGTTAATAGGATAACAGCCTTTGTAATCTTTAAGTGTTTGTTTCTAGACCTATCTACCATAGATAGTTGCTTGAAACCTTTCAAAGCTTGCTGTGTCTAATTACTAATTCATCCACCTTTGATCCCATGAAGTTAATGAAGTACAATTTGTTCATCTCCTTTCTCAAAAGATGTGCAGTGTTTAACTGTATTATTTCATTTTCCCAAAGATAGATCTTTAGTGGGTGGGTGGTAGTGCCTGCCTGAGAAAGTAGAACATTTTGGCACAGAAGTGAAATGGCTGGCAGCTGAGGCGATTGCTTCTGTATTTACTTATTTCAGCCCCACCCACCATCACAAGCAGAGGAGAGCCCCTCCCTGATAGCAACAGGGTTTTCATGGTTCCTGTTACACTCCATAGACCAGGAATGCCATGCCTGCTTGTTACGCAGACTCATGTTCTTTATACTCAGGCATTCTCCTAGCACTTAGAGTTTATGGATTATTTTACCATAGGCCTCCCTATGGTTGGCCTGTTCCATCTTCTCCTATCATCTTTCATAGTGCCTCTTCTGTGAAACCTATCTTGGCCCCTTTCTTGGAACAGACTGTCCCCCAGTACTCCCTAGATCCTGCATATACCTTCTGCTTCCATCCTCACAACTTTGATTTGACCTCAGTCCTGGGAACCCCTCCAGGGTGGGATTACTCACTTTTATATTATCAGCATCTAAAACAGTAGTTAAAAGCACATGGTACCTTTTTCATAAATGCTTCATTAGTTGTTGGCATCATCTCACTGTCCTTGTCCCTTCTCAGAATATAATGTGTTAACGTCAGCCCTTCAGTTGTGGCAACTTATCTAGAGATATTTGTCCAGTTTCATAGGGTAGTACAAAAGCACTTAGCATTTAAGGGCATAAAGAAGCACTTCTACAGTCCAGCAGCTGTGGTATTATACACATCCACTGTAGTTCTGCTTGATCTTCATGGTTGCAGAACATTTGCTGGTGTAGGGCTGGATATGCCCCGGCTTCATGTTTGCATGCTGAGCAGGCTTTCATAGAAGGGTCCTGTCGGTACTTCCTGCTTATCGCTTCATGAAGACCATTGATGATGCCAGTGCACTTTTCATTGCTAGCCACAGATCTCTGATTAGGTCATCCTGGTGCTGTTATTCTTTTAAGAAATCAGGTAAGATTCTGTCCCAGCAGTTAGGGAGGAGGCCAGTGCTGTTACCCTTGTTCTTATTTGTCTTTGATGCCTTCATTAAATCACTTTTCTGGTCTCCATCACCCTGGCCTTTCAAGCTCTTGGGCCCTGTTACACACACAGTTCAGGGTTGATTTGTGAGCCTCCTTTTGTCTTTCCACATCCAAAGAATAGAGTGCAGGAAGGGCAGAATGGTTTTCTCATGACACTATGGATGTTGGCTTAATATAAGATACATGTAATAGAATACATTTTATGGGTAAGTTAAAAAGCATACTAAAGTGAATACTCTCTACCAAGTTAAGAATTGAAACAGTGTTTTTGAAGATTACCTGTGTTTACCTCTAGCCCAACTTCTGCTTACTCTTCAGAGGTAAACAGCACCCAGAAATGATAAAATTTAAAAAACAAACCTTTCTGAATTTATAAAAACATTTAAATATTATGTATACTAGTATTTCAGAATGTGTTTATTTATTTATTTATTTTTTGAGACAATGTCTTGCTTTGTTGCCCTGGCTGAAATGCAGTGGTGCAATCTTGGCTCACTGCAACCTCTGCTTCCCAGGTTCAAGTGATTCTCCTGCATTAGCCTCCCAAGTACATGGGACTACAGGTGTGTGCCACTTTACCCAGCTAATTTTTGTATTTTTAGTAGAGATGGGTTTCATCACGTTGGCCAGGCTGGTCTGGCCGCCTTGGCCTCCCAAAGTGCTGGGATTACAGGCTTAAGCCACCATACTCATCCTGGAATGTATTTAATTTTTAATACCTAGCCAGAACTGGGGTGGGGCATATGGTCCCTACCCTTCAGAAATTCATATTTTGTCTCCTAGAGACAAGACTCAATCTAAGAATATGTGACAGTTCTAAGGGCTGAATTATATACCCCAGGCCATTTGCTAAAGGAATAGGAACAAAAGAGAGAATTTAAAGATGGTTTTAAGAAAGAGTTTTGGGTCAGGTCCAGTGGCAATCTCTGTACTTCAGAAGGCTGAGACAGGAGGATTGCTTGATTCTGAGAGTTTGAGACCAGCCTGGGCAACGTAGCAAGACTTTATGTCTACAAAAAAATGAAAAATCAGCCAGACATGTTGGCACACATCTGTAGTCCCAGCTAGTCAGGAGGCTTAGGTGGGAGGATCAAGGCTGCAGTGAGCCATGATTGCACCACTGCACTCCAGCCTGGGTGGCAGATAAGACCCTGTCCCAGCAAAAGAGAAAAGAAAGGATTTTGACTTGACTTGTTTATGAAAGGGTATGGGGCCTGGGAATGGTGAGGTGACAGTGATGACCTTGCCCAAGCCTCAGAGTAGCCATCAGCCCAGCCTCACTTTTTACTCATTTTATTTCCCCACACCTCCACCCTTGGGAAGCTGATATGGTAAGGAACAAATGCATCTATGTGTGTAATTGTTTCCCAATACGCTACCAGACCTCCTAAGGATGTTCCCAGATAGATCGGGGGATGATAGCCTCAGTAGGAGTATAATAAGTAGGCTGACTGTAAGCAATAGAGGTTTTGTACTCTGAAGGCTTTTTGTTTGTGTTTTAAGAATCTGTGCGTGATTTATTCAAATAGGGTATAAGTCTCAGTATTTTGCATTATACAGACTTTGTCTCTTTTATATTGGCACAGATCATGCATGCATTTTCAGTTGCTCCTTTTGACCAGAATCTGTCGATTGATGGAAAGATTTTAAGTGATGACTGTGCCACCCTAGGCACCCTTGGCGTCATTCCTGAATCTGTCATTTTATTAAAGGTAAGCAAACAACTCCTTAGCCTCAAGGTTTTAAATGTTAACATAAGTATGTGCAAACTGTATGAAATGGTGATTAAAGGATGCCTTGGGTCTTCAGCAGAGGGTAGTGGTAAATGACTACTGTGAGTTTTTGCTCAGCCCGGCTCTGGCTAAGCCCCAAGAGACTTAGAGGAGGTCAGAACATCATCATATCTTGTTCTTGTGTGTTACAGTAGGTGCTGTTAATGCCACAACATCAGCAACTGTTCGTATCCTGAGAAGGTGAAAGTGAAGGCTTTTCTTGGCCTTTCCTGGATCACCTAGTTCAGTTTCTATGCCTTCATGGGATTTCCTATTCCCTGGTAGGGCAGGGCAGTCGTGTAAATCACACTCACCAAGTGCTAAGCCCCACACCTGATTTTTCCTGTTTGATTTTCTGTCGTAAGTGCCCCAGTTCTTCTCCAGATACCAATCTAGTTTCCATTCCCCACAGACTGGGAGGAAGGGAGTCATGTTGGGTTGTGGCCCTCTAAGCACTGAGGATTGACTGTCATTTCAAGGGAAAAAGCTGAGTGATCTGGTCTCAGGTTACAAAGTTTCTGTGGTGTCCCTTCCCCAGTGCCCTCCACCCCTCCCCTTTTTTTTTTCCTTTTTTTTTGACTAGATGGATCTGTTCTTAATACCACATGAATGATACTGATGTCTGCAACTTAATTTGAAATGCTGCCCCACCAAAATAAAAATAAAATAATAATAAAGAAAAAGGTAGAAGATAGACTTGTAACCAGTGGGAATAGTAACTTATTTTATACTTTAAAATCTATCTCTGCTGAGATTTTCATAGTTTTTATTAAAAGTAGATTCAGCCTCCTCCCTAACCTTTTCCCTAACTTCCAGTTCAGCAGAAATACTTAACCATACTTCATAGTATTAAAGCATCTCCTCTTTTCCTTTTGGTTCAAAAGTACTAGCCAGCCAAGGTAGGAAACAAGGGTAAAACACAAGTCGCCATCGCAGCAGTCAGAATACACAACTTAGTGGGATTCTTGTCCAGGGTATGGAAATTGGTTTTGGATTTAGTAGATGTGGAAGATGATTTAGAAAGTCGGGGCTTCTAAGACATTGTCAAAGAAAAGTCATTGAGGCTGGGTACAGTGGCTCATGCCTGTAATCCCAGCACTTTCGGAGGCCAAGGTGAGTGGTTCTCCTGAGGTCCAGAGTTTCAGACCAGCCTGGCCAACATGGTAAAACCCCATCTCTAAAAATACAACAAAAATTAGCCAGGCATGGTAGCATGCGTCTGTAGTCTCAGCTACTCAGGAGGCTAAGGCAGGAGAATTGCTTGAACATGGGAGGTGGGGGTTGCAGTGAGCTGAGATAGTACCACTGCACTCCAGCCTGGGTGACAGAGTGAGACTCCGTCTCAAAAAAAGAAAAAAAAGGCATTGAACCAGCCTCATTTGCCCAATTTGTACCCTCCCTACAGCCCTAGTCACTTCCCATTGTCTCTTTTGTTTCTTCTTGACCAAAAGAATCCTTACTATGCCAAATACCACCACATCATGCGGTAGAATAATTGCTCAGATTTTTTATTTTGAACTGTGAAAATGTGTGCTTTTCAAACCCTGGAGCCCCAGTTCTGGTGTGATAAAGTTAGGCCCTGGAATAATGAGGCAGACTCATATCTACCCCATCCATGCACACACACCCCTCTTCCCACCACCTACCCCCTCCCTCTGTTTAACCTTCTGCATTTCCTGGAACTATAGGTTCTGTGACATGGTTTTGAAAACATGTTGAGTTTCTAGATCCTAATGATCCTGTCTAAAATCCTAGAAGCAGCCTGTATTGTTGAAGGGTTTGTACTTCACATGGGCAGCTAGAGTCTGTACTGGTCATTGGCCGTGTTATCCTTGCATCATCATAAGCTCAGACATAAGCTTCCTCCTAAAAAGGAAATAGGTATCTTGTTCTTGCTGGTGAAGTGGGACGAAATTAAAATTTTAACATAATTGGTATTCTGAGAGGACCAGTCTAACTTTATTTCTGCCCCTCACTGCCACTACCACTGTCTTAACTCATGTTGGTTAAATCAGTCTTTAGTAACCCCAGGGTGTCTAAACATTTCCATGTCTAAATGGGTCTTTAAGAGTGGGAAAACAGTCCCCCCTGCCTTTCTCTTGTCATACATAGTATACCATTTCTGAGGTGTTGATTCTAGACCCATAGCCAATGGGGCATCCACTGTTAAACCTGGACATCACTGGCTGTGGCTCGAACTGAGTTCTCTGCTGGAACAGTGTGTTTCTGTCTTATAGCAATATCAGTATTTGAATCATGGGCCATACTTCCAATTTCAGACTCCCTTGTGGTTTTGAATTGTCTTCATTTGTTTTCTAGGCTGATGAACCAATTGCAGATTATGCTGCAATGGATGATGTCATGCAAGGTAAAGATGAATTTGTTTTAGGAATCTGCTGGTTAGATGCTAGAAGGAGGTGGGATTTTACATATTGGAGCGTTAGCGTACAGTACTTTTACTTTTAACCTTGAAAAAAGCTTCCACATGTTGTTAAGGTAGAACACATTGTTTGTCTTAAAAGATCATAGAAAGGAGGGAACGATAGCTACAAAAACTTGAGACGCTAACCTGAGGAAGCTGAAATAAATGTCAGCCTGCTGATGGAGGAGGTCAACAAGAAGCAAAGCCAAGTCGAATTGCAGTTCACCAGACAGGCACACAAATTAGAGGCCCAGGTACCTCTGAAGGTGAGAATGAGGTGTGAGCCTAAAAACAAGATAACACGATACTTCTTTGCAAAACTGTGTAAGAAGCAGTTGAACAGCTCCCTATCCTTCACATCCTTGTCACTTACCCATCCCCACCTGGACCTCAGATGGGCACCCAGAATTATGTTTCCACACTTGCAAAAATTAAACTAGAAAGGTGGGAACGAAGCCTAAACTAAATAGAGATCACCTCCTAACCCTTTGCTCAAATTTGGGCAGCCCGTTACCCTCTGGAAGGGAGGGGATTTCTTTCCTGGGAAACTAGCCAAGTCAAGATAATAACCGATGGATGTAAAAAGTCTGGTTCTGTATGATCAAGTGGGATTTCTTGCATCATAGGGATGCAAGGATGGTTCAACATATACAAATCAATATATCACATCAGCAGAATGAAGGACAAAAATAATATTATCTTAATAGACAAAGAAAAAGTATTTGATAAAAATTAACATCCCTTCATGGTAAAAACTCTCAACAAATTAACCACAGAAGGAACATACCTCAATATGATAAAGGCCATATGTGAGAATCCCACAGCTGACATCACACCTAGTGGGGGAAAACTTAAAGCTTTCCTCTAAGAACTGGAATAGACAAGGATGGCCATTTACACCACTATTATTCAACATAGTACTGGAAGTCCCAGCCAGAGCAATTAGGAAAGAGAAATAAATAAAAAGCATGCAAAATTGGAAAAGAGGAAGTCAAATAGTCTCTCTTTGCAGATGACTTTTTGTTTCCTTTTGTTTTGTTTTGTTTTTGAAACAGTCTCTCTGTTGCCCAGGCTGGAGTGCAGTGTCACGATCTCAGCTCACTGCAGCCACCACTTACTGGATTCAAGCAATTCTTGTGCCTCAGCCTCCCAAGTAGCTAGGACTATAGGCAAATGCCACGATGCCCAGCTACTTTTTGTATTTTTACTAGAGACTGGGTTTTGCCATATTGGCCAGGCTGGTCTCCAACTCCTGGCCTCAAGTGATCCGCCCACTTGGGTCTCCCAAAATGCTAGGATTACAGGTGTAAGCCACCATGCTGGGCCTACATGATCTTATATATGTAGAAAAACCTAAAGACTCTACCAGAACACTCTTACAACAACTGATAAACATTCAGTAAAATTGTAGGATACAAAAATCACTATACAAAGTGAGCTTCTGTAGTGTAGTGGTTATCATGTTCACCTAACAAAAATCAACATATAAAAATTAGCATTACTCTATACCAATAAGGAACTAGCTGAAAAAGAAACCAAGAAAGCACACTCCTATAATCCCAACACTTTGTGGGGGCTGAGGCACGTGGGTCACTTGAGGGCAGGAGTCACTTGACCAGCCTGACCAACATGGCAAAACCTTGTCTCTAATTAAAATTACAAAAATTAACCACGCATGGCAGCACACACCTGTAATTTCAGTTACTAGGGAGGCCAAGGCAGAATTGCTTGAATCTGGCAGGTGGAGGTTGCAGTGAGCCGAGATCACACTGCACTCTCCAGCCTGATGACAGAGAGAGTACATTTCAAAAAAGGAAAAAGAAATCCAAAAAGCAATTCTGATGATAATAGCTACCAAAATAATAATAAGATTAGATACCTAGGAATAAATTTAATCAAGAAAGACCTCTACAAGGAAAACTACAAAACACTAATGTAAGAAATTGAAGGGCTGGGCTCAGTGACTCACCTGTAATCTCAGCACTTTGGGAGGCCAAGGTGGGTGGGTCACAACATGGTGAAACCCCATCTTTACTAAAAATACAAAAATTAGCCAGGCATGGTGGCATGCACCTGTAATCCCAGCTACTCGGGGGGCAGAAAAATTGCTTGAACCCAGAAGCAGAGGTTGCCGTGAGCCAAGATTGCACCACTGTACTGCAGCCTAACGACAGTGAGATTCCATCTTAAAAAAAAAAGTTCCCAAAATTTATATGGAGGCTGGGCACAGTGGCTCACACCTGTAATCCAAGCACTTTGGGAGGCTGAGGTGGGCAGATTGCCTGAAGTTGGGAGTTCAAGACCAGCCTGACCAACATGGAGAAACCCCGTCTCTACTAAAAATACAAAATTAGGCAGGCATGGTGGCACATGCCTGTAATCCTAGCTACTTGAGAGGCTGAAGCAAGAGAATTGCTTGAACCCAGGAGACAGAGGTTGTGGTGAGCTGAGGTTGCACCATTGCACTCCAGACTGGGCAGCAAGAGCGAAACTTCGTCTCAAAAAAAAAATTCATATCAAACCAGAAAAGACCATGAATAGCCAAATCAATTATCAGCAAAAAGAACAAAGCTGGAGACATCATGATACCTGGCTTCAAAATATACAGGAAAGCTATGGTAACCTAAACAGCATGGTATTGGTATAAAACATAGGACAATGGAACAGAATAAAGAACCCCAAAATAATTTCATGTATTTACAACCAAGTGATTTATGACAAAGGCACCAAGAACATACATTGGGGAAAAGGTACCTTCTTCAATAAATGATGCTGGGGAAACTGGACATCCATATGCAGAAAAATGAGACTAGACCTCTGTCTCTCACTATATATAAAAATCAACTCAAGGCAGGGCAAGGTGGCTCCCGCCTGTAATTCCAGCACTGTGGAGGCCAAGGCAGTCAGATCACAAGGTCAGGAAATTGAGAGCATCCTGGCCAACATGCTGAAACCCCGTCTTTGCTAAAAATACAAAAATTGGCCGGGCATGGTGGTGAACATCTGTTACTAGCTACTCAGGAGGCTGAGGCAGTAGAATTGCTTGAACCTGGGAGGCGGAGGTTGCAGTGAGCTGAGATTGCGCCACTGCACTCCAGCCTGGACGACAGAGCTAGACTCCATCTCAGAAAAAAAAAATCAACTCAAAATGGATTAAAGACTTAAATGTAAGCCCTGAAACTATGAAATTGCTAGAAATAAATATGGGGGGAAATGCTTTCAAACATTGGTCTAGACAGAGATTTTGGCAAAGACCTCAAAAGCACAGGGAACAAAATCAAAAATAAATAAATGGACTATATTAAACTAAAAAGCTTCTGCACAGAAAAGGAAATAATCAGAGTTGCAGGGACAACCTGTAGAATGGGAGAAATTACAATCTCATTAAAAAGCAGGCAAAGGATCTGAATAGATATTTCTCAAAAGAAGACATACAAGTGGACAATAGATGTATGAAAGATGTTCAGCATCACTAATCATCAGGGAAATGCGAATCAAAGTCACAGTGAGATACCATCTTCTCCCAGTCAGCATGGCTATTATCAAAAAGACAATAACATGTAACTAGGATGCAGAGAAAAGGGAAAAGGAAACTCTTATACACTGTTGGTAGGAATGTAAATTAGTACAGCCATTATGGAAGTTTCTCGAGACTAAAAATACAATTACCATATGATCCAGCAATCCCTCTAGTGGTATTTATCCAAAGGAAAAGAAATCAGTGTATCAAAAGGATATCAACACTCCCATGTTTATTGCAGTACTGTTCACAACAGCTGAGGTATGGAGTCAGCCTAAGTGTCCATCAGTAGATAAACTGATAAAATACATTATATTTATATGTACACATACAATGGGATACTATTCGGCCATTAACAAAATGAAATCCTGTCATTTGCAGCAACATGGATGGAACTAGGGGATATTATGTAAAGTGAAATAAGCCAGGCTCCAAAATACAGATAATGTATTTTCTCACTCATGTAGGAGCTACAAAAGCTAACCTTGGGCCTGTAGAATGATAGTTATGAGAGGGTGGGAAAGGGCATATGAAGGGTGGTGGGTTAATGGGTACAAACATACAATGTGATAGAAGGAATAAGTTCTGGTGTTCAATAGCACAGTAGGGTGATATGTTATATATTTCAAAAGAGCTAGAAGAAAAGATCATGAAATGTTCCCAACACAAATAAATGATAGGCCGAGTGCAGTGGATCACTTGAGCCCAGTTCAAGACCATCCTGGGCAACATAGTGAGACCCTGACTCTACTACGAATTTTTAAAACGTAGCCAGGCATGGTGGCTTGCACCTGTGGTCTCAGATACTTGGGAGGCTGAGGTGGGTGGATTGCTTAAGCCCAGGAGTTCGAGGCTGCAGTGAGCTGTGATCATGCCACTGCACTCAAGCCTGGGTGACAGGTTGAGACCCTGTCTGGAAAAAAGGAAATAATAAATATTCAAGGTGATGGATATACTAAATACCCTGATGTGGTCATCACACACTGAATGCGTGTGTCAAAGTATCACCAGTGCCCGATATATATGTACAAGTAATATGTTTGCTTTTGTTTTTTAGATGGAGTCTGTCACCTAGGCTAGGGTGCAGTGGCATGATCACTGCAGCCCCCACCTCCAGGGTTCACGTGATTCTCCTGGCTCATCTCCTGAGTAGCTGGGACTATAGGTGTATATCGACATGCCTGGCTTTTTTTTTTTTTTTTTTGAGCTGTGGCCTGGCTAATTTTTGTACTTTTAGTAGAGACTGGGTTTCGCTATATTGGCCAGGCTGGTCTTGAATTCCTGACCTCAGGTGATCTGCCCATCTTGGCCTCCCAAAGTGCTGGGATTACTGGTGTGAGCCACTGCGCCCAGCCTTGTTGGTATTTTTTAAAAGCTGGTTCATTTCCCAGGTACCCTTCAGTTAATCCCATCAGTGCCCACTGAACAGAGCTTTCAGACATCATTTTTTTTTCTTTTGTTTATACCCAAATCCTCAGACTTCACAGACATCTTTTTTTTAAGATGGAGTCTTGCTTTGTCGTCCAAGCTGGAGTGCAGTGGCATGATCTCACCTCACTACAATCTCTGCCTCTGAGGTTCAAGCGATTCTTTTGCCTCAGCCTCCCAAGTAGTTGGGACTGCAGGCACTTATCACCATGCCCAGCTAGTTTTTTGTATTTTTAGTAGAGATGGGGTTTTACTTTGTTGGCCAGGCTGCTCTGGAACTCCTGGCCTTGGGATCCATGAGTCTCGACCTCCCAATATGCTGGGATTGTAGTCCTGAGCCATTGTGCCCCGCCCAGACATCTTTTTACTACCTCATACTTAGGTAGAAATGAGCAGCCAGATAGTTGAGGAATAAGAGCCCGGAGAGAGATCAAGGAAATAGCATAGGAAGCAAACAAACAATAGCAAGAGGAACTATATAAAAGGAACATTTGGAGAATAGAAGAGTTCATGGAAATAAAAAATGATTGCACCATGGGTTTGTTACAGTAAGTGAAAAACTAAGGATAATGAGGGTCATGAAGGCATCTGGATGTATGGAGGGAAAGCCAATTGAATTCACAGGTTGAAGTCAGGAAGATGAGATAATGGAGCAGTGCCCACAAGTGAGTTCCAATCTAGAATTCCGTAACTAAACTGACTTTATTCTACCCTCACACCTGATGGCTCTTTGAACATACATAAGGCCTCAAAAGATTGATTCATCATGTACCATCTGCCAAGATACTGTGTGAGGATGTGTTCTTCTTGTTCTTCTTAAACATTAAATCAAGAAAGAAATGAACAGTGGACCCAGGAAATAGGGGATCAGCATAGGATAAGATGCCCTGGAAGATGGTGAAGTGAAGTCTCAGAACTGCTGTTCTTCAGCAGGCAGCGAAGATACCTGATCCATATTGGAGCAGTGGATGCAAGCTTCAGGAAGGGATGCCACAGGAAAAGTGGAAGTACTGGAGACTGCCTTCAAGAGGTTACAGGTCTTTGAGAGTTTATAAGTGGACTGGTGATAAATATAGAGAAAATGAAACACATCAGTAGTACAGTAGTTACCAAGCTCAGAAAGACCAAGTCATACCACTTAGGAAATATAACCATGGTGCACCAGGCATTCAACTGTGACCAGTATTAATGGAGTAAATAATAATGCCAGTACTGGAGACTGGCTTAACAACAACAGATGCCACTTCATCAGGAGGATGGGGTGGGGGTGGGGGCTGTGTAAGCAGTAGAAGAGCTGTTTGCATCATTCACTGAGGAAGTTAGTAGATTTTAGGAAAAATTGTGAAATAGCCTGGGCATGGTGGTTCACACCTGTAATCCCAGCACTTTGGGAGGCTGAGATGGGTGGATGACTTGAGGTCAGGAGTTGGGAGACCAGCTGGCCAACATGGTGAAACCCCGTCTCTACTAAAAATACAAAAATTAGCCTGGTGTGGTGGTGCATGCCTGTAGTCTCAGCTACTCTGGAGGCTGAGGCAGGAGAATCGCTTGAACCCAGGAGGTGGAGGTTGCAGTGAGCCAAGATTGCACCATTGCATTCCAGCCTGGGCAACAGAACTAGATTCCCTCTCAAAAAATAAAAACAAAATTATGAAATAGCAATATAAGCATGTTATTTAGAAATAAGCTAAATACAGAAGAAGCTGCTACATGAGTCAAAAGCTACTCCTTCCAGAACTTGGGGAGAGGAAGGGGAGAGGCTGCTTTGCAGGAGTCAGTTAAACGGCTTTCCCCCAGGCCACTCCTAGAGTTGTGCACCATGTGTGCTCTAGTTGCAAACTGAGTCCTATCAGTATTTGACTTTTTAAATGATGCATACATATTGCTTTGATAAAAACAGAAAAGACTGTCCTCAGATTAATAACATCCATAACTTCAAAGATGATTATTATCTGGTGACTAAGGTAATCAAAAGTTACTTTAAACTCTTATCCTTAAGCATTGAAGTGATCTTATACTGTCTGTAATGACAATCTTTTCAATTTGGAATTCTTTTTTTTTCTTTTTTCAGTTTGTATGCCAGAAGAAGGGTTTAAAGGTAAGTTATATTTGTCATGTTTTGTTCATGAATGTCAGAGTCATCCTGTAATTTTCTATTAAAGCGAGGACTATAATTTGATTTTAAATTTTAATCCAATCTGAGTCTCATGACTGAAATTAATTTCAGTTAAATGCATTTCTTATTCAAGCTTCTTCATTATCTTTTTCAACACTCAGGCCTCAGATGGGGCCTCAGATGGGGCCTGTGTGTTAGAACTGTTTCTTGCCAGATGTCGATTTGGCCTTCCCTTTCTCATTTTATAGGAGGTTGGGAAATTAGCTAGTCGCATTTTGAGATTTATTTTTAACCTTTTCTCAGTTCTTCCTATGAGTCCCGTCCTAGAACTAAACTGTTTGTATGTAACTATTAACAATTAGTGGTACAAGAATTTGCCAGATTTTATCAGGTCCAGTGAAAAGATTTAATCACTTAGCATTAAAGCATTTGTTGGATTATTACCTCGAGGGGACATGGTGGTGCTTATACTACATCTGAGCCATGTAGTTGCACACACCAGTAATATTCAAGAAGTCATCAAATAGAGACCTTTGACATTTATGGATTTTACTGTTGCTGTGTTGATTCTTTGTGGGTCACTCCAAAAGTCCATGACAGGCTGTGATTTTGCTAAGGAATGAGTTTGAATCGCATACCAGGTGTTCCTTGCTAAAGCAAATAAGTGACAAATCTATTGGCCAGCCTCACGTCTTCCTCTGCGTGCAGCTTTGTTGTCTGCATGTTACCACTACAGAGGGACTCCTGATGGGGTCAGAACAAAGCAAAAAAATGTCTTTATCAAAAATGGTCATTGGCCGGGCTGGGGGCCTCATGCCTGTAATCCTAGCACTTTGGGAAGCTGAGACGGGTGGATCACATGAGGTCAGGAGTTTGATACCAGCCTGGCCAACGTGGTGAAACCCCGTCTTTACTAAAAATACAAAAATTAGCCAGGCATGGTGGTGTGTGCCTGTAATCCCAGCTACTCAGGAGGCTGAAGCAGGAGAATCACTTGAACCTAGAAGGTAGAAGTTGCAGTGAGCCAAGATTGTACCACTACACTCCAGCCTGGGTGACAAGAGTAAAAATGTTTCAAAAAAGAAAAACAGTCATTAAATGAAAGCATCAATAAAATCTGGTTAGCTTGTGTGAAGATGCACTTAGGAAGTACATGTCTTTCAACAGAAGTGTGATTGAGCAGAGAGCCTGGAGTCTGGTGATATTTTTTCTTATCCTCCAACACAAAGCTGCTGCTGTGTTCATTTATTAAGTTGGATGTTCCCTGTTGATGATGTGTTCTTGGTAAATGGAATCCATGAACTTTTAATCTGTAGTTCACAACTATCCTTCCACGTTTGTTTCTTTTCCCAGGTACTGGTCTTCTTGGACATTAATCTTTGAATACTTGCTGACTGCTAAGAAATGACCAGAGGGGAAGAGGAATTTGACATGTTAGGGCATTGAACAAAGGTGGATTTAAGAATTAAACCATTACATGCCCCTTCCAAAAGGCAGATCCATTCAAAAGTGAGTGTCCCAAATGCCTTATGTCAAATAAAGCAGATTGCACTGACGGACATCAGACTTGAAGGAAATGTTTCCAATTTTATATTTAAGGGGGAGGTGGGTGGGAGGGGGTAAGTAAAGACAGAACAAGTTTAGTAGCAGTAACAGTAAATCATGTTTACATACCAGATTTATAGTCGTGGGAGGGAATAAAGTTCTGTTATATTTCCTTGCTTGAGTTTCATACCAGATGCGTTGGTCCATAAAGGATTGTATCACAGTAGATGGGACAACATTCTGCTCTGAACAAAAAGTAATTTTAGAGACATAACCTGCTTACCAATGCCTGTCTTTGATTCATATTCTACTTTCAATAAAGCATGAAAGTGAAGAACTTGTCCTAGGTGTGGAAAAGTGTCTTCAGATTTAGACTCCTCTGCATGTCTGCTGCAGCGCCACCCGCCTTACACCTGCCTGGCCGTCTGTCTCTTGGTGTTGGGTAAAGGAGGGGGCACCTGCTGTCTCCTGCAATGAGCAAGGAATTGTGTCTCAGTTTTTGACTTCAGAGGCATTTTGCTTTGGTGCATTTCAGAAAGGATGGAGAACATTTATTACATGTGAAAGCATCTTCCTCCAGTTTTGCTGTTACTCAAAAGTGGGAAATGTACCTGGCACGTTTGAAAAAAAAAAATCTAACTACCTATCAGAAGAGTAAATCAGACTGAAGTACATTCGGAAAACACAAGGTTTATATAACATTTGTTCTTCCTGTCCTCCATGTCACTGTTTCTTGGACCTCAGTTCCCTTTTTGAAAGCATTCTTCTAAAATGCCCTGCGAGGATCTTTCAGATCATTGTTTTAAAAAGGAAAATAATATATGGATGGGATGGGCTGTTCATCCAACTCAGGATTATCGTTCTTAACAACACCTAACTGAAGCAATATTCTTAAGAATATTGAAGGATTTTTAAAAATTGAACTTAAGATGGGAGTTTTTCCTCAAAAATAAAGTTCCCTCTGTTGAGTACATATGTACATGTCTGTGGCTGAGATGCTAGCTTAGGCATCTCTCTTGTTAACACTTTTCTTGGCCTTGGGTTTGGGCAAGGCTTTTTCCCCCCTTTCATGAAAATTCGAACTCAGATAATGGATGGGGAGGCAGATTTTGATTTGAGACCCGGTGACCTTGGCAGCATCCCTTTTGAATAGCTCCTTTTATCAGCGTAATTATGGCTGCTTGGTAAGATTCTAACTTCCTGTTTGTGTTTCCCCTCTGTGTTTCTGATATATTCAGTCTGCCCCCCCTGAGGAGGCAGGGGGTCTGTAATGAGCCTGTGGGGGAAGGTTAGAGCGGCACACAGCCCACTCAGAAACCGTCCTAGGAGCAGCACTAAGGGACCATCTCTTCTGGCCTTTGCGTTGACACGGGAAGGACTTGAAGTTGAGCTGATGGATCCTGATTTTTAGATCTCATTGTTTTATTAGCTCCAAAGAAATGAATGCAGGAGCCTAAAAGTAGTAACACAAACTTACTCTTTCCCAAGGTAAAGACTTCTGTAAAAGTTTGCACAATGCTTGATGAAGCTGCTTCCTTTTCCTTACAGAGAAGCTTGTTGGCCAGAGAAGCTTCTTTTCAGGGATTGACATAAACATGTTAGTAGCCCCCAGAAATCTGGTAATATTTTCAAAATTTGTTACTTGGGCATTTTTTCCTCCTGCAATGGTACAAAATAACAGCCTTTTGTAAATCTTCCAGGCCAGTACCTACTCTGGTACTGGTTTATTTATCATCTCTGCCCAGAGGTGAGGCTGGCCCTGAGTGAGCAGATGAGGCTGCAGGAGTCTGCCCTCGGCTCAGGGTCGTCTAACTCCTGCTCTGACAACTTGCCTTGTTCTGGCAGCACTGCTCAAAGTGTCTGCCACCCAGCAGCTCCAGCGACACTATGAAGCCTTATTACAAAGGCACGAGTCTGCATCCGCAGGCCACTCCTGTGCTCTTAGAAACCCTGGGCTTGGGCCTCTCCCACCCATAGTAGGCAGAGTTGCTAAGAAGCATATGCTTGTATTAAATGGCTTTGCATTGTCACCCTTCTCACTGTACAGGGTAAAGGTATAACCTAAAGCCCAATTCTCATTTCATCTATAATTACAAATAGACGGAGTCCATTTGCCTTCTGGACTGTGAAAAGTGCAGAGACTCTTTTCGTTGGGGTTCTAATGCCATGCATGTGTACTTTTTTATATTAGATCAGTCTCCTGTATGAGGTATTATGAAGCTTGGGTCTTCTCTTTATGTTTCTGACCATTCTTTAATCCAAACTAATGTATACAACATACTATTCTAGTACAAATTTTGCCATTAACTGAAATACAGGTTGCATTTGGATGTCTTCATTCCCTGGGGGAATAAGTATTTTTCTGTGTATTTATGAACTTTATTGTTTAGAATTACTTTCCTGCCAAATTAAAAAGATATGAATGTCCCTTTACTTCAGTGAAATCATAATCCAGAGTGAATTTTTTGGTTATTTTAAATGTCCTTTTGGTTGGTCCTTGTGGTCATAGATCTATCTGTTCATCAGACTCTGCTTAATATTGGAATCTAATGCTCAGGTTGACTAACCTGTTGTAAAAACCCAAGGGATGATTTATCTCTGTGTAAACAAACTACTGAAGTGAAGTGAGCAGGAAAGCCTGGCTCCTGTTACAGAATCATACCCTTTCTCTGGGGCATTTCAGTCCTCAGCTTATTCAGTGTTGCAGGGGACTGCAAACAGAGTGCATGCAGACAAAAAGGCAGCATTTTTTTCATCTTTTTTTTTTTTTTTTCTTTTGAGATGGAGTTTTGCTGTTGTTACCCAGACTGGAATGCAATGGCATGATCTCGGCTCACTGCAACCTCTGCCTCCTGGGTTCAAGCAATTCTCCTGCCTCAGCCTCCCGAGTAGCTGGGACTACAGGCACGCACCACCATGCCCAGCTAATTTTTGTATTTTTAGTAGAGATGGGGTTTCACCTTGTTGACCAGGATGGTCTCGATCTCTTGACCTTGTGATCCACCCTCCTTGGCCTCCCAAAGTGCTGGGATTATAGGCGTGAGCCACGCGCCCGGCCAGCATTTTTTCATCTTAAGATTTTCCTAGCCTGAGCAACATAGTGAGACTTCATCTCTACAAAAAAACAAAAATTAGCCAGGTATGCTGGTGATCCCAGCTACTCAGGAGGCTGAGGCAGGAGAATTGCTTGACCCCAGGAGGTTGAGGTTGTGGTGAGCTGTGATCACACCACTGCATTCAGCTTGGGCGATAGAGTGAGACCCTGTCAACAACAAAAAAAAAAAGATTTTTCACATCTATGATAACACCCCATACTCCCGACCCCATCCCAGGGTACAGGGTTTTGTCAACAGCAACATTTATAATTCTGAAAGCTGGCATCACTAACCCCCTTCCCATCCACCCATCTAGACATTCTGTGGGCAGAAATACTGGCTGGGGATTTGATTATCAACATTATTGGAACCCTCTTTTTCATTAAAGTATAAGTTATGAACATTGGTAAAATGGTAGGTAGCACTTCATTGGTTACCCTGAGCAACGTTGCTGTGTTAGGTCCTGCATGCCAGGTAGACAGTCTTGTTGGAAGACAGAAAACCACTTCTCCATCCCATATATCCCAAACCTTGATGGTTTTTTCCCGTTCTGGCTGTTCATTGGGCTAAGGAGTCTGCTGGCTATCCAGATAGCACATAAACATAGGCAAGTGTTGAAAGTGTGACGCTATAGAATTTGGACCACCTGTGTTACAGATAATTTCACCATTGACCTTGTAACTAAGAAAAGTTACTTAATCTTGCTTTACCTTAGTTTTTTCATCTGTAAAAATGGCAGTATTTGCTATTTTTGTTTACTACATTAGAGGATTATGCAATAATAAATACTGTTCGGGTAAAAGGCTTTATTATTATTTGTTTTTAGAAAAACTGTAGGCTTTCTGAGGAAATGCTGTGGAAATCTCTTGCAAGTCTTCAAAAACAGGTCTTGTAACTAACTACCTAGCCAAGCTACCTGGAGCGTCTTCTCAGAGAACTTTAGAAACTACCTTTTACTTCAAGCCCTTCCAGCTCAAATGATAACTAGACAGGTGTTTGAGCATCCTGTTACTTAAATCTTTCCTCCTGGCCCATAAGGGTAATGAAGCCAATGCTTATCAATTCGGTGTTATTTGCAGGGTCATGTTGAAAGGTATTTGAAACACGCTTAGAATGCATGTTGAAGATTTATGTCTTGGTGATAGGCAGTTTCTGCCCCAAAGGGGCAACTTCAGTCGTTTTGATTGTCATTGCCAAGAACATCAGGAACAGATGTCTTGAGCCTACGAGGCAGGGCTCTGCGGGCACTGGAAGCAAAGCCATGCGGAGGCCTGTGGCTGGCACTCAGAGGTTACTTCCTGGTCTGAGAATTGTGGTTTTTCATTATTTATTTACCGGGTGATACTTAGTGAATAATATCACTCAAGGGTAGAGTACATGAAGCAGGTATTTCTTAGTTTCCTCTCCCCCAACAAATGATAGAACCAGTTCTTATCAAATAAACCATGTGACATTTCTGCATATGGTGAGGTTTAAGGATCTGATCTCTTTGAGCCTCACTAGATTTTAGGGAAGAGGAGGTTGCAGAATTCACTGTGGCTTGCCAGGAGTTGTATGACTTCAAAGTGACATTGGTTTGACTTATTTTAGAGATTAAGTCTTGGTCTGTCACCTAGGCTTGAGTTCAGTGGCACAATCTTGGCTCACTGCAACCTCCACCTCCTGGGTTCAAGTGATTCTTGCGCCTCAGCCTCCCAAAGAGACGAGGTTTCACCATGTTGGCCAGGCTGGTCTCGACCTCCTGACCTCAAGTGATCCGCCTACCTCGCCCTCCGAAAGTGTGGGGATTACAGCCGTGAGCCACAGTGCTTGACCTGGTTTGACATTAGAATTGGGACTTGCACCGCCTTGTAATGGATTGAGCCTCTGCTGTGTCTTACCCAGCAGAGGCCAGACCAAGGTTGCTGCAGAAGGGGATCCTACTGAGGAATGGGCTGCATCCCACAAGTGGGGGTGGGGGTGGGGCACGCTGGTCCTCATTCTGTGTGCTTTCACGCTCCTCATTCATGAGGCTGTGAATTACCCCTGAAGTTAGCCCTAAGAGCTTGTCCAACATAATTACTGTATTGATCTCAAATAGAGGGCATCATCTGTTTCTCCCCAACATGCTTAAAAGAAAAAAAAAAACCCTGCTTTCAAGGACTTGTAGGGCCTTTGAAGTGAAATTGCTCTTGGGCAGGGAGGGAGCCAGCCTTGTAACAGCAGCTGGAATGGCAGCTTGAATTCCAGATCTGCATTAGTGCTGC